GCACGAAAACGCGTTTATTGGCGTTTTTTGTAACTTTCTGGGCGTCACAACGGCGGAAATTCCAGTTTTTGAGCGTTAAAACGCACTATTATTCTAGAACTTAAAAACAATACGTTTTAACGCTCAAAAACTGGAATTTTCGTCGTTTTGACGCCCAGAAAGTTACAAAAAACGCCAATAAACGCGTTTTCGTGCGTTTTTTTAATGAGCGTGAATGGATCACAGTCGAGGTTCCCGATTGTACGTTTAAACGCGTTTTTCGAAATTTTTGTCTGACTGGGATGTTCTATATCGTACCTTGTTCATTCCTTGCAGTATTTTACGAAAAGAAACGTGATACACAACTCATACTTATAGTATCTTAGAAAACGAAAAAGTTAGATTCTCTCGTTTTGTTCAGATTTAAATAAAAGCAGCTAAGACATTGATATTGATGATATTCACCAAGGTCTCGACAGGATAAAATGCTTTAAAACTCTTTCTTTTGTTGTTATGAAGTGCATATGTTGATAGAAAATAAATGATTTTATTTAAGGATATATATACTGTATATTGGTTACATCAAGTTAAACAAAAGTTATATTAACATACACAAATTTGAATATCAGTTTGATTTAAGTTCTATAGAGATTTTGAAAAGAATTATCTAAACTCCAGCTTTTTTCAATCTTGATAGTTCAGCTTTTTGACTGATATAAAGCTAAAATAACAAAGAAACAAGTAATTTTGAACGAAAATAAATAATGTTTGAACATACTCTATTGATTGCCTCACATAATTGATCCATTCTATCAGGAAAATTTTCAATTGGATCAAAGTATTGTGAACGCATTTGCAAATCTCGTTCTCTTTGAATTTCTAATTCAGTTGCCTTTTTCAAACCTAAAGTATAAACAAATAATTCTCATTTAACTCAATTGAATATTCTAACCTGTCCAACGCAAAAATTTCGCTAACATAAATGATAAAATCTTTTCATCTTCAGATCTATTTTCTCGTGCACGACGAAAACTATCATTAATAATCGAAAGAAACATACTCAAACAAATAAATACAACCAACAAAATAAAGAGAAAAAAGCAAACTGGACCAAGAAATACATTTGCTCCAATTAATTGGCTTGTATCAAATTTCATTAATGTCATTTCAAACAACATTTGTGCAGTTCCTAATACAGATGAACAAGACGAAATACTTGATACAAATAATAAATAAAATAACCAAAGAAACGACATAAATACAATTGAAAACATCATTGTAAATGAAAGAAGTTCTTTGCCAGCACATTGAAGTGTTTGAATAAATAATAATAAACGTTGATTAAAACGAATTAAATGAATAAATTTAATTATTCCAAAAAAACAACAAAAACTAAGAAGAAATGTTAAAAGATCATTGACATAAACTGCAAATTGTAAATTAACATAAACATATCCATTTGTTTTTTCGAAAAGTGAACTAATACGGTTAAATTCATGAAAACGCCAAATATAAATTACAACACTTCCCCATGAACAAACAATGATTCCTAAGTTAATCCATGGCCAAAATTCACAAAAATATTTTAATTTTAATCGAAATAATAATCGAATTTCGATTATCATTAAATAAATGATAAAACCCACATAGATAATTGTAGGAATTAATTGTAAGATTGATGTAAATGCTAAAGCAAAATTTATTTAGATTAGATATAGAAAAAAAAATCTTCATTACTATAGAAATTAATTGGCTCAAAACGAGCTGTTGGAACTATTGAACCTGTTGATAAAAATTCGATAAGAAAAGTAATTGAAGTAAATAATTGAACATTTGGATTATATAATGTTAATTGAATAAAAATCGCTCTTGTTTGCTTATCAATCCATCCTAATTGATGAAGTTTGGATAAATTACTTCGAAGATCAGATAGACGACCACGAAATTCATATACATAACCATTTCCACTATATATCCCATGTTCACCTATTGAAATATATGTATCTAATTGTTCACTTGTGAAATATTTAAATGCTTTGATGATTGATGAACTATATTGTTCGTCTGTTGATGATGTTTGATTAATCCATCCTGGTTGAAATGAATGTTTTTCTTCATTAAATAAACTATAATCATTGTGACATATTGAAATAATACGTTGATCAGAACAGAAATTTGATTTTATACGTAACTGTCTCATTGTTGACCAGCCGATTAATCGATTAGATTTATCATTTAGATATCCATTCAAATTTCGAGGAATCTCACCGTTATACCATTGTTGAGCACGAAGATTTTCAATAAAACTATTTTCTAACCATTTCCAATATTCATTTATTGTTGAAATCTAAAAGACAAATATTTTTATAAAACAAATAAAAAAAACAACAACAACAAAAAAGAACCTGTGTGTAATCATAATTGGTTTTTCTTGCATTTAAAAGATATTTTCGTAAATGTTGAACTTGAAAGAAACTATTTTGTTCTCGATTTGAATAAGTTATTACACAAATTAATATTAAAAATATAAAATAAGTAATTAATTCTTGAATAATAGACCACATTTGAATTTCTTTTAAACGTTGTTCACGAGCATAAGCTATTTCATTTTTGTTAAGACGATTTATAGTTTTTGAGGATGGAGATGAAAATAAGATATCACCCTACAAATGAAATATTTATTTCAATCAGTTTTCAATGAAACAAAGAACGAACTTCAATTGAATGAAGATATTCTTCATCATAATCTAAATCTATCTGATTCTCATCTATAAATTCACTTGCTTCTTTATCATCATATGAATTTCGACAAAAACAAGCAAAGAATATTGCCACACATACAATCTTTAATAAAAAATAAAAAAAACATTTAAAAACCAATAAATTAGAGATACAAAATTCTACTTTGATAGGTTGAGTAAGAAGAATCGAAGAAAAAAATCCAGTAAGAATTGATGTTAACCATTTTTGCATTTTTAAATCACCAAATTGAATTCCTCGAGCAATGATAAAAAAAATTGAAACAGCAATCATTAGAAATGAAAGACCATAAGCAATAAATAAACACCACCAAGGAAATGTTATTTCATATGGTTTTTTCTTAGTTACATGAACAGTTTCTGTATTACTAAATAAACAAAATCAAATTTAAAAAAATATTTATTTCAAAATTGACTAACATTTGTAAAGATGGTTTAATCTTATACAATGTTTGACGTAATGGTGATATTTGTTGACGAGATTCAATACGTCGAAAGAGTTGAACAATTAAAAGACTTGGAACTAATGACAATAATTCAATCATAATACCAATTGTAATCTTAAATAAATCAAAATATTTTAAATATATTCAATTTTCATTACATAGAAATCAACATACTTGTTCACGACTTATATAAAAAGGACCAATTGATAATTTACTACCTTCTCTTGATGCTTTTGCTTCTGTTGATAAATCATAATACATTATATTAATTAACATTGACAGAAATAATAAAACAAAACAACAAGTACATCGTTGCACACGAGTAAATTTATTTGATGGTGGACGAGTGAATATTGAAAACCATAAATGACCATCAGATATACTATGATATGTTTTCTTTGATAATACATAAGAAAATTCACGTTTTTCAAATTCACTTGCAACTGGTAAAACTCGTTCAATCTATTGTGAACAATGAAGAACAGGATATATAAAAAAAAAAACATAACTTACAAGTCCATCATCTTTGTCAACTGCAAACCAACGTTGTGTGATAAAATAAAATTTTTCCATTGTTTGTAAATCTCGAACAATAATATACTTTAAAAACCATGATGCAGATGAACCTTCACCTGAATTATCATGCCAAATACGAATATAATTTAACAATCCCAATGATCTAAATATTAATCACTCTCTCTCTCTCTTTTCTTTTTCAATTATTAAAAGAAAATAAATTTACTTTGGAACAGATAGAATAAATGCATCAATTCCACCACGTTGAAGAATCTTTCGATGAGGATCTGAAAATGTTCGAACATATGTTTCATCATGATTACCCGATAAAATAAACTGAACCTAAATAAAGAATGTTTTTAAAAATCTTCTTTCTTTTTTTTTTTTGTTTTTTACTTTTGATTTTGTTCCAGAATTTACTCGTTGACCAGTAAAAACAAGAATTTGATAAAGATATACATCTGATTTTTGATTATAAGGTAATGGTGTTACTCCCAACTAAATAATCAATCAATTAATCCGATAAAGAAATATTTTAATCATTTTTATTTACCTTTACAATATCTTTTCTATCTTGAAAACGTGCATAAATTATCAATATTATATAAATAACAGACATACAAATAATCGTTAAATAAACAGTTTTATTTTTCAGAAAATCAGCATTTGCAAAAACATAATTCCAATTAATTGGTGCTGGTAAAATAATAAAACCACCAGCAAATGTTGTTAAATGACTTGAAAAACATTCAGTTTCATAATGATTTGTTAATGGACCAACTATTAATCCATCTGATTTCCAATTATTGTTCGAATCAAGATAATAACAACCTGATATATATATACGAAGTTCGTAATTTGATGTAAAATTAAATTTTTCATCTGTAATAGGAAGATTATTAACTAAAGATTTATTTAAACAAAACTCAATAAATTCTGTTGAATTTAATTCTCGTAAACCAAATATTAATGATTGATGTGTAGATGTTTGTTGATTATTAATAAAATATGTGTAAATACTTTCATTTGATAAATCTATGATTGAAAAAGATTGATAATTTAAATTCGCGTTCAAATAAAATAAAACTTACTTGAAGGACAAAAGAGAGTCCAACCATCAACCGAATTAATCGAACTATTTAATTGAGGTATTTGATCAAATTTATAAATAAATAAATAAGCAAGACTTGAATTTAAAGGATGCATCTCTATATGTATTGAAATAGAAAGAGAACTTGTTATATTAATATAATGAAAATTAAATAATAAATTATGAATAGTTGAATTAATTGATGTGACATTTTGTAAATTCATTGATGGAATTATCATATTTGGATCACGAGGAATAATTAATTGTATTAGATTATTTTCACTTGTTTGAATAGAAACTTGATTTCCATTTCGATCAAGAATTGAAAGTGAAATTGATGTTGAAAGATTTGTATTTGATTGAATTTTGGAATTTCCATACGAAGCAAGTGGTTCCATCATTGACTAAATAAAACAATAATCAAAATAATAATAAAAAAAATCATTCAAATACGGAAAAAACAACAATCCTTACTCGAAGTGAAATCGAAGAAATATTTGTCGTATTCAAAGTAAAATTTGATGGAATATCAAAGTAAGCATTTGCAACTTGTTTAACAATTTTCTTTTCAAGTGATTTAATCGATATTGTTTCTAATGACATAAATGTTTGAGATGTATTTATTATTAAATTTTGACCAATATTTATATGAATATTTAATGTCGGAGTTAATAATGCAATTATTTCATTTACTTGATTTTTTATTTGATTTGCTAATTGTTTTTGATAATAAATATTTCGATTTTTTTCAATTGTTTCAATTAAAAAATCATTTCCATCAGCAAATAAATCTACATTTAAATCTAGTCTATATTATTTCATTAATATGAGAAATCTTACTTAGATTTGACCATTCAGATTCAAGATCTGTATCATAATCAGTAGGAAATGAATTTGCACGAGATAAATCTAAATCAAGTAAACTTATTCTTCCTTGTAACGGTCCATTTACACCCTAAATTTATCATTAAAAATCTTCTCATCTTTAAAAAGATAGATTTTTTACGGTTAAAATATTTGAAGCACATTGAATAAGTTGATTCGATGCTATTTGAACATCTTCATATGAAATTTTTGTTGCCATTGAATGTAAAGCAACAGATAATTGATAACATCTATTTAATGCGATCATCTACAATTATTCAAATAAAATCTTGAAGCAAAAAACAAAAAATTCATTTTCTTTTGTTTACTAAAGTATTTCGTGTTAATTGATTTGTAGCTTGAGTTAATTGAGCTAATGAAGTTGATTGTAATGCAATACTATTTGATGTTGTAATAAGAAGATTACTTATAAATCCTATCAAATAATCTCGAACATTTGTTTGAGAATTTAATTCTTTTTTATATTCAATCAAAACTGATTCATTCAACGATATTGAAGTCTATTTTACAAAGAAATTATAAGAGAAAAAAATCATTTGAATTTAATTACTTTTTGAAAATTTGCACCTCCTAATGGTGATATTGAAATACTTGTTACTGGAATACCACCTAAAAAAAAACTTGTCATTTCGAATAATTTCTGATGATATATAAATGTAATTATTTACTTGAAACAGCATCATCTACATTTTCAGTATTCATTTGATTAAAATATTGTGAAAGTGAAGTGATAATTTGTCCAACAATATTTTGATTTCCACTATAAAGTAATTGAACAATTGGATTATTAGTTATTTCATTTGAGGAACTTTGTATTTTATTAATTAAATCATTTATTTCTACGAAATCTGATATAACACTAACAGAAGACACATTAACTTCTGTGATACAATCAAGAAAATCTCGAATATAAATAACAATATTGAGTAATGATGTTTGTTTATCTCCAGTTACTAAACGAACTTGAAAATCAAATACTGGTGAAAATGCCATCATTATTCTTTGTGATGAATCTTTTGTCCAAACTAAAATAATAAAAATTATTTTCCATAATGAGAAAAATTGAAAGCGAAAAAATGTCTATACCATAAACTGAATAATCTTTAATTCCATCTTCATCAAACCAATTTGGACATGAAACTGTAAATAAAGTACTTGTCATACCATTTTGAGGATCAATTGAACAAGAACCATTATATGGAGATTGATTAATAACAAAATTCAATGCACTTGAACTTGTTTCAAATGAAAATGTATAAACAACTTCAAATCGCCAAAAATTTATTTGAGGATTATCAAGAAAAAGTTTGTTTGTTGCTGTGAAATTCGTTGTATTTAAACCAAAAAACCAAATATTTTCATATGAAATCATTTGATTAAATAAAATCCATTGAGTACGATTTGTCGATGAATTTATTGAACCTTGATAAACATTCCATCGTATATTTTCAATATTTATACAAATTCCAACACAAATAGCATATAAAGCAACTTGTGTTGATGGATTAACAAGTTGAAATTCAAGATTTGGAATACACATTGTTGATATAACACAACTAAATAAAATATTTCTCAACATTCAATTACTTTTAAAAATTAAAAAAGAAAAAGAATTTACCCAATAACAATTAATTGTGGACGAGTATCTTCAACTTGTACAAGTACATAACCAGTTGCTTGAATAGAAGAATTTTTACGATTTTCCATATAAACCATAAATTGATATGTTCGATTTGATTGAAGTGAACCAGAAAGAATTGTTATGGATGATTTTGGTGATAAAGTTAAATTTCCATATATCAATCTTGTTCCATTACCTTTTTTTTTGACAAATAACGATTATTATTATTGAAAATAACAATTTTTTGTACCTGATCGATTTGATAAACATGATGGATTCAATGGATCATTTCTTGAATCATCAATTGATAATAATATACCTTGCAAATTGGGAAAGTTATATAAACCATATATTCGACAATAATATTTATATATCCATTTCTAACAAAAGAAGATTCATTAATAAATTCATATGATTAAAACTTACAGTAGCATCAAATGAATCTTGATCAGGATCAACAGAAAATGTTCCAGGATCAAGTAAAAGATCTTGTTGATTTCCACGTGTAATCACTGATGTTCCTAATTGAACAAGATTTGCTGTTATACCTGATGCAGTTATTCTCACATAAGCAGAAGATGTCGATTTTAAAGTGGGTGAATCAACCATTGTTACAGTTAATGTTAGTTCATAAGTTCCATAAGCCAAAGTTCTTGATGGAATATAAAGTTCACTAAATGTTGTCATAACTTTTTCACTTAATCGAATTGGAAATAAACAAGAAGTAGTAGTACAATTTTTTATTGTCCATTGAATAATTGTTGATAGTGAACCACCACAATTAAATTGAAGAATCGAAATAATTGAAAAATCTTGACTTCGTCGATATTGTAATGGAGATGCTAAAGATGATTGTCCAGGGATGAGTATCAGAGTCGGTGAAAAACAAGCTACAATTAAATTATTGACAAATCATCTGTGATGTCATCAGAATAATTACTTTGATTAGTAATAAATGGTTTCAAAGTTGTAATAATCGTAATTGTCGATGAATGTTGTTCTGTTGACGAGGTTTCTTCTAGAAATATTTTAATAAAATCATCTTATCGAAAGTGCATTCTCATCAACAAACGTATTTCAAGCTGTGTTGTATTTTTGGCATCAGTTGTTTGAATGATCTCGGTGGTTATTTTCTCTATCAAAGTAAAAAATTTGTATGTAAGCTTTCAATTAGAAAATATTTCATGTGGTAAACCTATTGGAGGGTTTGTTGTTGTTGGAGCTGTCGTAGTTTCGACGGTGCTTGTAGTTAGAACCGAAGTAGAATCGATAGCACTTGTGATTGGAACTGCAGTAGAATCAATAGAATTTGTGGTTGGAAACGCAGTAGAATCAATGGGGCTTGTGCTTGGATTCATAGTAGAATCAATTGGACTTGTAGTGAGTGCTGCTGTAGTTTGAATAGCACTTGTGATTGGAACTGTAGTAAAATCAATAGAACTTGTGGTTGGAGACGCAGTAGAATCAATGGAGCTTGTAGTCGGATTCATAGTAGAATCAATGAGACTTGTAGTGAGTGCTGCTGTATTTTGCATAGCACTTGTGGTTGGAAATGCAGTAGAATCAATAGGACTTGTGGTTGGAAACGCAGTAGAATCAATGGAGCTTGGAGTCGGATTCATGGTAGAATCAATGGGACTTGTAGTGAGCGTTACTATAGTTTGGATAGTACTTATGATTGGAACTACAGTAGAATCAATGGGACTTGTGGTCAGTGCTGCTGTCGTTTGAGTAGCATTTGTGGTTGGAAATGCAGTAGAATCAATGGGACTTGTAGTGAGTGCTGCTGTAGTTTGGATATTACTTGTGGTCGGTGCTGTTGTAGTTTGAATGGCATTTGTAGTTAGAATTTTAGTTGTTTGAGTGGCATTCATAGTCAAAACTGCAGTTGATTGAATAGTGGTTGGCGCAACTGAAACGAACGATATTTTTTATGCTTTATTGAATCACACAGGAGAGAAACTACTTATCTTAATGATGAGTGAGTGAGTAAGGATTAGGTGGATAGAAGATTCTTACTTTCATTCTCACTATCCAGCAATTCCTACTCCATTCACCAACCCTCAACATTAAATTTTCTTAGAAGAACTTACCATAAGTAGTATTTAGCATTAAAACAAACTTTTGTATTCGATTATTACTTTTATCAGTAACATATATGTTTCCATAGCTATCAAATTTAAGATCCGATGGACTAGATAATTGACTAGATGATGAACCAGCGACAGTCGAACAGCCAACTATACATCGAAAACCGTTAGGACCTGAGCCAACAATACGATGTTGTAAACTATCCACAATAAAAAGATATCCATCAGCATCAAGTACAACTCCGCTAGGACAATTAAGTGTAATTGTTCCTATTGCTGTACTCCCAGCTACTGTTATTCCTGTGACTTCTCCCGATGGAAACTTTTGCACTCGATCATTTCCGCAATCAGCTACATATAAATTAAGATCAGCATCAACAAATATTCCACGTGGATTATAAAGTGTATTAGATGTTAGACCCCAACAATTGGTTCCTGCAGCTATGATCCATATGTCTGAATTACTATTTAATGATTTTGTCATAACTTGATGAATATTAAACATTGAACAGTAAAGATTGTTTTTAACATCAATAAAAAGTCCGTAACAATCGTCTTTAACATACATTACTGTACTACTTGTTCCATTTAATGCCCATTTGTCGACACGATTATATGAATGTCCATTATCGACATAAATATCGCCATTGGTTGTAACGAAGATACTATATGGATACGATAAACCACTGGTGATATTTCTTGTAGGTACACTACTTCCTTCTGACCATATTTGAACCTGATTGTTTGCTTGATTGGCCACATAAACAGTATTGTTAGTGCTTACAAAAAGACCAAAAGGAGATGCACCGACTGTAGTACTAGTTGCAAATGTTATTGCATTACCATCCCAAGCAGCAATTGCACTAAATTTTGGTTGATTGTATGAAACAGCTAAAACAATATGTGTAGATAATCAATTAATTTTGTTTTTATTCTATTTTATACAAGTCATATAACTGTTCGTAAACATAGACCAACTCGTCTTCAATTCGATCCTGTCGGATTTGGACTATCTGATTGATTAATCCTACTCTTTACTTGTAGTAGCATTCTAACTATTTAAAAAAGTAGCATGAAAATTTTTTCAAAGCTCGACATTCTTACTTCGATAATAAGCTTACTAATCAAGACTATAGAGTTATTATATTACCGTTTGAATAGGGCATCGATGTTGATGAAGTAGTTGATTGAATAGTGTTTGTCGAAGTTGTTACTGAAAATAAATAGAATTCATTAGTAGTATAAAAAAAAAAGGAGAGAAAAAAATACTATTGGTCATAATTGTTGTTGTGCTTCCATCTATAACAAATAGAATTTCGTTTAATGAATATACTCATATCTATTCTTAAGATCTAATCAATTGAATAAAAAAAAAAACAAACTCAATGAAAATGTAGTTTTAATCAAAAATTCCAAAATGATTTGATTTTGACAAATACAGTCGCTTATAAAACTGAATTTTATAACTTTACTGTACCACATGAATTGGTTGAAAGAAGAAATTTTTGAATTCTATGATTGTATTGATCAGCCACATATATATTTCCATAGCTATCAAAGCTAAGAGTTAATGGATAACTTAATTGAGTAGATGTTGAACCACCACCAGAGCATGCCGCTATACATCGAAAACCGTATGGACCTGAACCAACAATACGATGATTCCAACCATCCACGATGAAAAGATAACCATCAGCATCAAGTATAACTCCACCGGGAACAGAGAGTGAAATTGTTCCTGTTGCACCACTTCCTGCTATTGTCATTCCATTCGATTGGCCCGATGAAAACTTTTGAATTCGGTTGTTGAAAGCATCAGCTACGTACAAATTAAGATTTACATCAACAAAAATTCCACGAGGAGTATTAAGTGTAACTGACGTTGACCCAACGGTGCCCGTACCTGCAACAGTATTCCAAATATTTAAACGTGTGTTCAATGATTTTGAGATAACTAGATGTTTATCATCCATCGAGCAGTAAAGGTTATTTTGAATGTCTATGAAAAGATAAAAGCACACTCCACACACGTACATTTCTGGAACGCTACTTGTTGAATTGGTTGACCATTTGTCAACTCGATGGTTTGAATATCCATTATCAATATAAACATCATTAGTATCTGTACCGAATACACCAGATGGAGAATCTAAACCACCGGAAATATTTTTTATAGGCACAGTACTTTCAGATGACCACACAAAGACCATATCTTTTGCTCGATTAGCTACGTAGACATAGTTTTTTGTATTGACAAAAATACTGAAAGGATATGTACCGATCGTAGTGGTATTTGCAATGGTTATAGCCGTCGGATTCCACGATGCATTCGGACAAATTTTTGGCTGATTGAAGGAAACAGCTAAAAAAAAAGACAGGATTACAGTTTGGATTAAGATAATCATCGGATTTTTGTCTTTTAAAGAAACACTTCAGTCGTAAACATGGTATTTACTAGACGAGAAACACAGATGAGTGCATCGAGTGTGGGCATGGGTTGATCATATCTCTGCTAACACATATCTACACCCACCCACGAGACTTCGAGACTCATAGAACCTTTTTGTTACACTCTTGATTTCATCAATGGCATAATAACATGTTGAGACATTGATGCATTGTGGTATACAGGTCAGAGGGACGATGTATCTATCCAGGATTATGGTTTCATTCGTCAATTTAAATAACTTTCTGGTCAAAAAGTCGGAAAAGTGTTGAATCTTGGAAGCAGGATGACGCAAGGGGACACAATGGACATCGCAAGACCGCGGGGCTAGTAGCGTAACCAAGATAGAACTAGAAGAGACTTAATCCCTCACTAAAGGATTGACCATGAGCCATACCATCATATAGCCTATTTCTATGGTTTTGGAGGGATGAGTCTTGCATCGCGCGAAGCCCAACAGGCGTAGCTCTACGAGCCCTATTATCGACAAAATTCTGATTATGCCACTATTGGTGACATCATGAGTGTTCGACAAACTTAAGAAATCACGTGAATGACAAATCTAAATTCATACTTCAGCAAAAGCCTTGTTAGCCTATTAACAGATAAAGCCACTCGTCCATCGTCTGATAGATTGTCACGAGTGATAGAAACAAACAACTTCATTGAAAAAGTATTCAATTACTAACTATGACGTTTTGTCAATTCAAACGACCTTGACCTTTCTTTCGACTGATTGGCAAAAGAATAAAAGCTCACATTTCCACCAAGATAAGATCACCGAAAATAAGGCAATTTTATCGATAAATATTGTAGAGGCCACTGAGAAAGAAACAGCGGCCTTCAGCGCTTCAAAAGACTTCAACAACAGAGATTTTAAATTTTCAAGAGATTTCATAAAACTTCATGGACCTTCAAAATTGAAGACTCTACTGTTTCACCTCTCGAAGGTACGATATTCGTGTCTGACGATCAGCTATGTCGAGTTCTGGCCGTAGATGGAAAAATTGACTATCGAATCAGGACAGCGTAGGTCTACCTCCAGAGTTCAATCATTTTTCGGAGTTTTTTGACCGAAATCTGTCGTGTGTCATTCATCTGGGAAAAGTAAATATGACCACAATGTTCCTATAACAGTTCTAAAACTCATAATATCAATGGGTACTAGTTATCAAGGTTTTCTTCATATTGAGATGAAATACAATGATATTGTTATGAAAGATGTTCACACAAAATACCTTGCTCTTAAGATAACTGGATTGAGAAATTGATTAGATCTTTACCTGACATTTGCCCGATGATCGATAGAAATAACGATATTTTCAAACTGCCAATTGATACCATTTTGAATAACTAAAACAATATATATTTTTTTTTCGCATAGTTCAATAGTGATAATATACGAGAGTTCAAGCGAATACTTGGTATAAAGACAATGAGAAGAACATTCTGTGTTTCTCATTCTCTCATTTGTTTACTTATTTATTTTCATTCTGTTAACGATACATGATTTTAAATGTAAACTCTGTGATGTAATGACTGTTGCGTTTACTATATTCATTGATATTGTTCATTTTTTTTTATCAAAAACTCTATCGACAGAGAATAGATTAAAAGTGATCTTGTATTTCATTTCTCGAGTGTTTCGAGTGTATAATTCATCTATTTCAAAAATTAAAACACTTCAATCAACTTTTTCTTTTCATTTCGAAGTAAACTCAACTTTACTGAATCTTTCGTAATTTTTCATCAAAATTCTTCTATGTCGATTTTTATAAACAGCAAATCTTTTCAAAACAATAGTTCGCTACCTCTATATTAGGACAATTAGTATGCTTATCATAGACTCTAAAAAATAGGTGTTTCCACTAAACAATTAATGGTCAACTTGTTATAGCTACTCTACGATGTCTAATGTTATGCATAGGTTCATTATTGAAAATTTACACTGCCACCGATGAAGGTGAAACTATAGAAATCCAAGGTATTATTATTTTATTTGGCTAGATCAGCAAGTGGCACGACTCGATGAACATCAGATTCGAATAAAAGTCTCGCTTGTCAACCATCAATATTTTGTAAAATATGGATAATAGATGGGCAAGTCCGTTGAGCATAGGTCTCGATGGCAAATCTAGCGAAGTCTATGACTTTTAGCAAATCTTACAGACAGGCTAGGACCTGTACTAAAGTGGTACATAATCTATTGTAAATTTGGCCGTCTATAACTTCGCTGTGCGACAAATTGTCTTTGATTTTCTGCTAGGTAGTGAGGTTTGCCGAAGTCTACATTGACATCAAATTAGATTTCAAACAAAAAGGCTTTCATGTTACTTTGACACTAAGGAAAAGATTTCTATTACTTCGAATGCAAATTATTCCTTATCTGTTGCTAACTTTCTCCTCTTCCATTTAACTTTTTAACTGTATCTGCGAAAATAATTTACTTCCTCATATTTGAAAACTATCGAGAACCATGACGCTGAAAGAAACTCTTTATCTTACCGTTTTTTCAAGACTCGACGCGTTATTTGAAGTAGGACTCAACAGGTCTCTTCATCTGCATGCATGGAAAAAACACTTGATTTTAGGATCTCAACACTTTTAAAGATTTGTAGAAAGCTCGTGAAGCTTCACAAATGTTCAAGACTAAAAAAACCTGTTATTTTTCTCTAGTCACAGAAATTCACTAAATGTTATCTTTATAATTTCACATTTAGTGTTTAAGAATAACTTTTGAAGTTAATAGTCTACACCTTGAAAGGAAGATTAAACTCAAGACCCTATATGCACCTTATATTCCATCAACTTATGAGAAAGATCCATTTCTATGAGGCGTTTACCTATCTGCACTCTTCAATTTTCTGAAAAAATTGACTTCGATTCAAAATCTGTATCCCGAAGAATAAAATAAAGTAGAGAAACAATTAAAATATTTTAAATCTTAATATTTTCTAATACCGCAGAATACAAATTTTTTTTTCAAAGATTGCATTGTCTCGTAAGAGAAACATAATTTGATTAAAATTTTTAATAGATCATTTTTTTTCATTTTTCTGTTAAAACCATACTATTTTTTATATGCTAAAAATTAAAGTTATCAAAAGTTAGTTGTAAAAATCATTTTACCTTTGTTATACCATGAAATGTATTAGTTTGATTGAGTAGTGTTCAACTAAAATAGAAATTGTAAAAATATATTTTCTCTTTCTATATAACACTACATTTTTTTCCGCATTCAAAAATAAGGTAAAGCTCTTGTGCTTAATTAAAATTTGGCCTTCTCTCTTTGTTTCACTTTCTACTCATCAAAGAAAAATAAACTAACGTTTTGAGAATAGTGAACAGCGCTGGGAAGCAATATCTTTAAAACTAATTATGTTTTATGTATGAGAATAAAAAAGATTTTTTTTTAAAGCAAGCTGCAGAGCGAATAAATGCAGAAAAATAATTCTAATTTTCTAAAACGTTTTTATATATCAATATAACTACGTAGCTTTTTTCTTAACGTCTTCTCAAATGATCGAAGAAGAGACGTATATTTAGCTACGTAGATCGATGATTTTGAAACTTGGAAATCGATGGAATTTGAAAGCAGTATTCCAAGCCGAAATATCCGATGACTTCCGACCGTTTCCCAATGGGAACGGCAAGAAATTGATCGGAAGTAACGAGAAAATGTGGAGACATTTTGGCTCGGAATACTGCTTCCAAGTTTCACCGATTTTCGAAGCTTTGCTGCTCGAGTCAGTTCTTAGATCTTTCACTGGATACTTATGAAACATTTTCATTCCCATTGTATTCTAAAATCTTACTTCTCGTCCTTATGTTTTTCATAAAGAAAACTAATTTCAATAATGTAATGATGATGTTTCTAAAATGAGAATCAAGAAACTGTGCTTCTTTGCTTGCTTGCTTGATTAAATCTTTCTATAATTAATCAAAAAGTTGACGATTCAAGAAGAACAGTGACGTTCAAAAAGAAAAAAAATTATTTTATCCTTAAAGACGATGATGACAACGAGTATCATTAAGTAGATAAATATGTTAGTTTAACACAAAACTGGTCTTAATAATAATTGTTTTAATTTTGTGCTTAGCTTGCTTCTCAGAACAGAACATTTTCAACATCGTTGGGACGACAACTTATACAAGAACGTTTACTGAATTTTATTTGACAAATTTTTGTTATATTATACTTTTTCCTTTTTATTTAAGCTCTTGGCTAAAATATTTTCTTCTCTACTTGTGAGAACATCATGAATTCTATTGAGCAGATGTTATGGATATTTAATGTTCAAACATTCATGTGAGAAAGTAATAATAGAATTTCTGCTTGTTTCGTCGTTTTAATGCCATGTGAATTTCTTCAATATCGATAGTTTTAGTAAGTTAGCTATGTATTTACAAAGAATTTAAACTATTACGTAAATGTCAATAACTTGAATGTCATTTCTCGAGTGCACTATAGTCTGTTACTAGTTGTTTCATTCTCAGTAAGAAAAAAGAAAGGTCGATCTAAACAAAAAATATATAATCAAGTACAATTTAGATAATATTCATTTTTGAAATAAAATGAGAGAAAGTGAAAAAGAACAGATGGGAGTTCTTGCGTTGTTTAGTTTATAGAAAATATTTACTATTCATCGTAGACCAGTCACACCATTACGCACTTTTCTCTGCAATCTATATTTTGTTCGATATAAAATTAGTAATTTTAATACGAATTGTACAAAGAGATCGATCTCTTATCTCTTACTTGGAGTGTGAGTGTGTTAGAACAGAAGACACACTCACATCTTACATCCTCAATTACTGTAACAGTATATAGTCATTCAAAAACTGACACATATGCCACGACAGAGAAAAACGAATAAAAGGACAAAGGAAAATGAAACAAAAGATTAAATACGAAGGCATCAAAATTAAAAACGTCATTTATGAACATCTATTCTATAATTTCTTTCTTCTCTTTCACTCATTCAAAATTCATGCATTTTTTGATCTATACTAATTTATCTGTATGAAATCATCCAATTAATTTATATTCATATAATTTAATCATAAATGTTTTACTTTCTACACTATTATTTGTCATAATCTATTTTTGATTTCTTTCATTCTAGATCAACTGTCTTCTCGTTCCTGATAACAACCAGTCACTGCGTCTTGAAATTAATATTATTTAGTTTTGATTTTCTTCTGAATTTTGCACTAAATAAGTTTTAATTTGGATCTTTGTGATTCTTTGAATCATATATACAAAATCTTAAGCCAACTAAAGATCGTCTTAGTCGACGTGAAACATGTTATGGCAGCTGTTCTCAATATTGAATACTACGATTTCAGCCGTTCAACGAACCAAATCTTTATCAACAGTATACAGGATGCACAGTTGTGTGAGAGTGCTCGAAATAGTTCACGAGAATTTTATTGTTATAAAGTCAAAAAATTGGAATCAATATTTGAATCATTGAATAGGTGAACATGTTTTCTAATCAAATCGAATCAACGAATGCTACAATATGGATTTTCATATGATTTATAAGATAGATTAGATAGCCAACTCTATATTTATTTAAATTACAGCATTCATGAATTGTAAATTAAAGAATAAAAACTTTAAAAATGAAGTAACATGCTAGGCCTTCATAGTTTTATATAGTTTATCAAAAATTGGCTTGTACTGTTTCTCGACAGCGTATCGTCGGGCCTTAAACGTCGGTGTCATAAGACCATTTTCAATTGTAAATGGTTCCGTAATCAGTTCAATTCCTTTCACTTGTTCGAACGACATCAAATCTCGTTTTTCTCCATTTTCAATCATATCTTTCAATACGGCTTGACGCAATCTATCATTGATTTCGGGTGTAGCAAGAAGTGTTGCATCAATACTGTTTTCAGCGGCCCATTTTTTTACAAATCCATCGTCGAGTACAACAATAGCTACGGGAAAATTTTGAAAGGAGTCGCCATAAACAAACACCTGTGATATAAATTGACTACGCGCGTAAATGCCTTCGATCTTCTCGGGTGCTATATATTCACCTTGGCTTAACTATCATAAAAAAAAGAGAAATAGACATAATTTAAGTAAAAAAATCAAAATTACATTTTTTTTTAACTCTCACCTTATAAATGTTTTTTTTTCGATCAATAATGCGCATCGTATTATTTTCTGTCCATCGGCCAATATCGCCTGTGTGTAGCCAGCCTTCCTCGTCGATTGTTTCGCGTGTTTTTGCTTCATCTTTTAAATACCCACTGAATACAGCCTTGCTACGAATGCAAATTTCACCCACACCATCTCGTGCAAAATATGCTTTTTCTGGAATGTCGACTAATTTAATGTGATTCACGGGTGTTGGAATACCTGTTTCACCTGATTGAGTATCGTTCATTGCTTGCCAACAACCTGCTACGCACTCAGTTTGTCCGTAGCCTTCTATAAACATACATGAAAACATTGCTCGACAAAAGTCTGCTACTTCAGCCGATAATGGTGCACTTGATGAAATTACACGTTTGACTTTGTTGCCGAATATTAAACGAATTTGATGGAAAATTTGACTATCCCAAGTAGTATCCTGGGAAAAGTTACCCTGTCGAACCTCAGCCAATTTGGATTGAATGGCTGATTTCAAATTATTGATTGCAGAAAGACCTTTTCGACGTGCTTCTGACATTACAGTATCATATAATTTGTTGAGAAGACGAGGTACCATTATGATTGTATTTGGTTTGAAATCTCGAAAGTCATCCATTAATTTGTCAACACTACCTTGCCAGAAGCCGAACTCTCCACCTGCAAGTGAATCAAAGAAAAGATCATTAAACATATCTTTTGATATAGAATACTCTTAGCCATACCCAGGTATATTGTGGTAATAAGTGTTCCACAACCAAACATATGAGCCAATGGCATAAAATTGAGGACGCGTGGAATCTCTTCTCGTACTAGTCCTTCTAGATCGACGACTAGCATTATCCCCATAGAAGCACACATGAAGGACTCATGTGTGATGACGCATCCTTTGGAAAAAAGTTTATCGTTTTAACAAATCTCTAACCGAACAAGATCCTACCTTTTGGTTCACCCGTACTGCCGCTAGTATACATGATTACTGCAATATCGGTTGGTTTAGGTGGTACCCGCTCTGTTCGATGAGCTCCACCCATTTCCATCATTTTTTCAAAAGTAATTATTTGAACGCCTTTCAATTTCGCTGCTTGGACCAATTCTGACGACGGCTCCAACAAACTGATAATCGTTTTAAGTACAGATTCTTCACTGTGCCATTCGACCAAATTTTTCACTCGCTCCAAATCATCAGCAAAAATCAACTGAAGTTCAGCATGCTTGACAATAAATCGAACACCATCTTTGCCAAGGGTGTCATAGATGCCAACCGGTACAAGCGAAAAAGACCATGATGATAAAAGAAAGAGTGCATAGTGAACTGTAGCCGAACCATATATGCCGATAAATGTATCATTAGATTTTTTTAAACCGATTTGAACCATTGCACTTCCGATATCATTTGTCATATCGAATACTTGCCTACAATTAGGATATTAGCTTCGTATTGTGCAAAATGTTCAAGTATTCATCGTGATTAAAACGAGTTGCCCATTTTTTATTCATTCGAACCGCTGACATTTCAGCAGACACTACAATCCTTCCTTTAGAAGTCCGCAGAAACAATATTCATTCCTTTCTTTTTAACAAATTTTCCAGCTACTTCGCGCGCAGCATTCTATTGAATGCAACACTGACTAGACTTACATCTCTGATGGTGACTACAACTATTCGAAGTCTGAAAATCGTTGAAATGATAAAATCAATAAAACTTCGTCAAGTGTAAACAGAAACGGTGAATTTAAAAACATTTGATGGATCATTTTACATTTTTTTATCCTTGTTTTCAAGAAATGCGAACCGTCATGAAATACGTCTGATATAACCATGACTAGGACTATAACAGTTCTTGGATAAACCAACTTCTTTACACTATTCGCCAGCTTTTTTGAACTAGGACCATTGAAGTCCCACAAATAGGACTTATTAAGGTCTACAAAACTGTAAGCAATATCAGTTTGAAAAAAGTTTGTAGAGCCGGGGCCATTTGCTTCACAAGGATAGTGCAATCAGGAAGCTGCCAGTGATGACAAAAAGACTCTAAGCTCATTTGTGCCGCTACTAATCCTGGTATAGCAGGTTCAAAAGCTACGACATATGTGTTGCATTCATAAACTGACATGCATCACAGAATTACTCTGATTATCTGAATTGCTACATGAGTGTTGGTATCCACACACTATCAAGATTTCGTTATCGTGATTTCAGGGCAAGAACAACATCCAAAATCTGAGTTTGCAACCAGCCATCTGGATCTTCATGGGTACTACTTGGAAAGAGCGATTTAATGTCTAACTTCGTTGCGTTCATGGACACGAATCACTACGTTGAATGGTTTCCCTCTTTAACAAGCTTGCCAACACAGCTCCGGATGGAGCTAAAATGTGAAACTCACTTAAAATATTACGACCTACAGTACAAAAAGGTGCTCTACGAGCGCATAAGTCTCTCCATAGAACCAGAGTAACCTGACCCGAAGGTGGGAATGCACCGGTTCCGGTTTTAGAGCCGGAACCGCTGGAACAGATCGGAACCGAAACCGGAACCGGTTATCATTAGATTGTTCACTTCCCAGGACGATAAATCCGGCCTCTGGATGCGCTCGGAACCAACATGAAACATGGCTATTTCCTGCCTATTCTGGCAGGTTCCCGTGTATTTCCCCCCGGAATCGCACGAAAAACATGCGAAAAATGGAAGTAGTATTCGGGTCTGGAAAGCACCGTACCGGATCCTTCCACTTCCGTGCAAAATCGGTGTCCGAAATCATCTTGGAAAACTACAATATCTGCGAAAGACTTCTTATGGAAACCTATCGCACTCTGTTTGGAACTGTTCAGAAACATGTCAAATCTAGCCGGAATAATAACGGAAACGGACGGATTTGATCTGATATTATCTACTAACCATGAAGATAAACCTGGAAATCAACAGAACACGGCAAAACTATTCCTAAACCGAATATCGCCGGCTTTTTCCAGCAAGCTCCGCTGACTTTCGCAGTTTTCCCACAGGAAACGCGCGGAATCGATAAGCAGGATCCCTCAAAGTTCTGTGCAATACTGTCCCTAAGACACGTTCATATCCCATCATTACCTGCAGGACACGCTACATTGGGTCGTTTTTCCGCCATTTTCATAGAAATCTTCTATTTTCTCCGATATTCAGCGTGTGGGTGGGTGTGGGTGTCTCACCTTTTTATCCTGCTCATACCCACATCCACATCCACACACACCCACCCTGAATGTTTAGCATATTCTTCTGGCTGAATCAGCTATACAGTAAAGTTTAGATATGAATCCCCGGTCGAACAATTCGGCAAAGAAACGGTCGGTTCCAGAGTATTTCTGGGATTTTATGGAAGCAATATTCTGGGATGGAATTCGTCATATTTTTCCACTTTCTTCCCTATGATATCGAACCGGATATGGGGGAAAATTCGAGGAAAAATTCGGACGGCTTCGATTTGTAATGCATGTATTCGGTTCCTTAGCGGAAACGAGTGCAACGAAGTTGGTTTGCGGCGGATTTTATACGTCCACTTTTCTCACGATAGACTACTTCCAAGCCGAGGAATTGACGGGAAAGAAAGTGGAAAAATCCGGCGAATTCCGTCCCGGGATACTGCTTCCATGAAATCCTAGGAAAAATTTAGAACCGATCATTTCCTTGCAGTGTTGTTTGCCTTGGGTTCACAGGTCGAGAAGTGCTGGCCGGGTCCTGCAAGAAAACGCCGGGAATGCTAGAAGCTTGGAAGCAGGAGTCCGGTGACTGCGTTTATCCAGTTCCATCCGGAATCATCCAGAACCTGGCCAAACTAGCAGTTGGATATGATCACAGGATTCCTGCTTCGAATTCCTGACATTTTTCGGCAGGTTCGGGTGGAAAATGGTATCTTTCGTATGGGCTCAAGCCGGAAATTCACGGAATATTACTTCAGGAATCATCGACCTGGGCTTTCCGATTTCTGTGTGCATAGTATCAACCGGTTCCGGTTCTGGCCACTTGCGGTTATTTGGAACCAGTGCATCCATACCCGAAGGTGTTACTCTTCGTTTATTTAATTCTAAAGCGATTATTAGTATTTTTACCGTTTTGACATGGTATAGTGATATACTGTCAGTTATTGCGTCGAAGCCTAACGCAGTATTTAATTTTCGAGTACTTTCAAATATCAGACTCTCTACTCCTTCGAAAGTTCTAGAAGAGCGGCGTAACCGAGGAAGGGGAAAGGGAGGAGGAACAAATTGGCAATTGCCCAAGCAAAATTGTCGAAAATTGTTTTGCTTCAGTAGAACATTTTGAAAATGTCTTGCTACGCCACTCTTCGCGAGAGTAAGGGACATCACGTTGATGCATTTGTCAAAATTTGTGATAAGAGGAGCCCAACTTTCTCGTTGTATGACAGTCATTAACAATCGTCAACATGTCGTACTTTAAAATTACAAATGCTATGCACGATTTTTAAATTAAATTTGCAAGATCCTTTTCTTAAAATATTGTCCCGCTATAATTATTTCTACAGATCTGTCATCGTCTTATGTTTCATTCACTAGGAATCGATATTGTGCTGCCGTAGGCAAAGGCATGCATCTGATTCGTAGTATCCTTGGCTACTAGTCTTGTTTTAATAAAGTCTAACATCATACTAAAACCGATCAACACTAGTATAATCTTCATAATGAAAAGAAAAATTGTGATATATAAGATAAGAATTCTTGTTGACTTAATATTTCAGTAAGCAATAAAAAAATTCTTACTTGTAGGCATAGGATTCGAACGGCTTATTGGACGAGTCTCTATATGAGAAAAGAGGCCGATCACCATATGATTGTACAGCGCGTTCAACAACTTCGTACAGAGTTTGTGCACCGCATGTTCGATGATCGTAAAGTCTTTCGACATAATCCGGATGTGCATAGATATGCTCATTACTGTCAATTTCAACAGCCCCTTTTGAATGCATCGGTCTTGTCGAAATACTTCGATTATTCACAGAATGAGTATAGTCGTTTTATCTAATAAAATAAAAACAAATTCTCAACTGAAAGATTCTCAAAACCAATTTCAGTCATCAATTATGCCAGAAAGAAATGATGATGACTTCATTGTTAAGATATAAAGTAGGTTTACAATAGCGAACAGATGTGTGTATTCTGCCGACTTTTATCATTATCTTTTCTTTTTGTTCTGCGCATTGCAAACATCGAAGTTTTTTCTTTCTTTTTGCAGTGTTTAGAACGAAATGAAAAGCAAAGAAAAAAAAGATATTGGTCGTAAGTATGCACATAAGCACTGATAATGATATCTTGCTGACATCGAAAATTCTGCTTCTATTTATATATTATCAAATTGAAGTGTATGCGTGTGGGTGTGGTACACAATAGGCAACCAGGCGACAAAATCGGCTTTTGAAATTCGAAGCCATATCGTAGCTAGCATTGAAGCTACTATGGCCCTGCATTTAAGTGCATCTCGAATGCCGCTCTATAGCGAGTATGTAGTAAATAGCAGGTACTACAATGTACGTAAAATAGGTGAATATCATTAATAGTATATATACGTAAAATGTGTGTTTTAAACTAAGGATCTAGTTATATCCATTAGTGGTTATGTAGTTATATAGTGTTTTGTAATTACTATATATTACAGATCGTTTGGGCTATAATAAGATCAAAAACTTGCCATCATTATAGTGAAAAATAGCCACTGACCCATAATGCGGTTCGTTTGCAAGATTTTGCCGGAGTTTAACTGGAAGTTTTAACTTATCGTTTCATCGAACGGGTGTGAGGTGTGGCTGTGGCTGTAGCTGTGGGTGTGTCTTCTTTTCTAACACACCCACCTCGTAAGGATACTACTTGTTTTCTACCACTTTAGGATCAGATAGATTCTATTAAAAAAGATGACACTATGCTCAATGAAGATGAATATATTAGTGATCAATGTGTTCGCTTGCTTCAACGTTTTTCGTAGGTAGGTGATTACAGTCTTGTCATTTGTCTATGTTCAAATACATCGATTGAGACTAGAGAATTTAGATGTTGTTCAGCTGATGTTGTAAAGTACGCAGCTTATAAACAGCATTTTTTGCATTTGATGAGAAAAGTCAATGTGTTGGAGAGTATAGATGTGGATCTTTTCTGAATTCTGAATTACATCCACACTCTCAACAAGCAATATCTTTTTTTCAGATTACACGAGTTGAGAACTAGATTTCCTGTGGATAATGATCTTTTTATTAAAACCAGGTAAAAGAAGAAAAATAAAAGCAATAGAATTTTGATGCATGAGTTCATCTAGAGATGTGTTGTTGGTAAAGTCTTCTTGTCTGGTGATATTCTTTCAACAGTAACACGCGAATGAACATTAGTCGCATTTGGATTTCGATTTTTCTCTTTCTCTTCAGAAATTAATGCAAGACGAACAGAATTTTTAGTTGATTTCAGCTTTTTCCTGCTTGTTGGTACATGTTTGACATGAATAGTCGATGTCGATATAGAATAGGGCAGTGACAAACTGATAGTGTTTTGTGGTGGTAGCCGTTCTTTTCTCCTCGGGATTGGTCCTCGAACTGATGTCACATGCTTCACAAATACTTTCTGTCCGCTAGTTGCTGATGATGAATGCAACGATATTGGACTTTTATCAATATCGTCCAATTGAATCGTACTGTCAATAATCGATTGACGAGGTTTATTTGATAATAATGAATCTCTCTGTGACGATTGTGCCATTTGAACATGATTCACTCGAACATTACGAATAGTTCCGATGCTGTTGCGTCTTAAATTCGAATTTCTAGGTGGCTGTGAGATGTGGCACGATGGTGATAAAGAGCACGAACTGCGTCGTCGTATCGTTGAGATCGACTTGACGTTCGATACTTTCATGTGATCACTTGTTTTCGATTGGAATCGAGGACGACTGATTAAATCATCGTCTGGTAGTCGAATTGGTGGTTTGATACTCAGATTTGTTGCAGTGATTAGTTGTTTTGCCATTCGAGTTTTCGAAACTGATACATGGGGGATCAATTTTTGTTGTGAATAACTACTTAACACCGATGATGAATGGTCATTTTGACATCGATTATTCCTCGAGTCATTCGTAATCTCGTTGAGCACATTATGAACAATAGAATTAGGACTCTCGGAAGTGAGAACACTGGCATAATCCGAAAGTTGATGGCAAACACAATTTGAATAGATACATTGATCGATGTAGTAGAATTCAGAAACGCCTTTATGTTTGCCTACATTGCCACGACCACTCAGAGGACTAAAATAGAGAGAATATTGCTCAAGAATGAAGCGCACATTGTCTATTATACTAACCAACAGTAGTGCCAACAAAGACAAGAGCACAATGCCGATGTCAAAATAAGAACAAAACCAAGAATACTGCCGATTATTGGCCAACTGATCGAATCCGCTATAAAAAATGGACATATATTTGCTTAATAACAATGCGGATCAATGTAGGCATACGTTTCTTTGTTGTTGTGGTTGTTGTCGAAGTCGTCGAAGTTGTCGAAGTCGTTGATCTAAAGAGAAAGAAGTGTTTCACTTGTTCCTGAAAATCTAAAACAAGCTGACGTTGAGGTTGTTGAAGTACTTGTCGTTGACCTAGAATGAATTTAGGAATCGCTGAAGACTATCAGACAACTTGCACAATCTCTATTTACGTGGAAGTTGTCGAAGTGGACGATGTCGTTGAACTGAACAGTTGTAAACAATATTTTATTGAAAAAGATAAATTTTCTACTTACGTGCTAGTACTCGAAGTTGTCGTCGTTCTAAAGATTATGGATAATGGAACTAAGCATGAATGAAAACAAAAGAATTCTACAGACGTGCTTGTAGTAGCAGTAGATGTTGTAGCACTAGTTGACGTTCTAAAACAAATATATTGATCAAAGCAGTTTCGAATTAATCATTTCAATCAACTAACGTTGTTGTTGTAGTGGTGCAAATATAACCAGGACAAGCACAAGCACCATTTTGCGAAACGTAGAATTTGAAACAATATTGCGCTGATTGTGCATTTTGGCTAGATGATCAAAAATTGATTCAGTCATTTTTCATTTCATATGAATTCAATACCTGTCAAAAGCCATGGCACACATAACTTGATACCCAAGTTGAGATGATGTCGGTGTCCATGAAAGTGTTTTGTAGTAGGTTGACGTGTTGAATTTGACGAGACTTCCTTTGATCATGTTAGGAAATGATAATGTCGAAATATCAACAATGGTTACACTTGCACCGCAATAGTTAATTGCAATCAGCATCGAGTTGAATGTTTGACCAACTGCGATAGATATACAGGAGTCTTCGAGTGGTATTCCAGCAATGACTGGCTCAGTAGTACACGATGCTTGATTAACAACATGAACGAGAAATTGTACGGGTACTCCACTAAGGGGAGTGGTGCTTGTTGAAGAGATAAAATCTTCGACCTAAAGATAAGAGGGAAATATGAACGACAGGCAAAATTACACATAGCTTCACCATAATTGCCACAGCAAACCAGTTACCAACCGTCTGACCAGTAATGATAATAGTACAGTTCGGATAGATGATAGTATTCGGTGGTAGTGAACTAGGTGGACATACACCACTACATTCATCGATACCATTTGATGATGTCGACCATCGACAACGTGTCGTATCACCGTCTGCGTCGCCCACAGGTATAATAATAGCTTTGGGATGATTCACAGGGATTTCGATCGGAGACATCATAGTTGCCACAGGAGCATTGTTGTACAGGCCATTATCGGATCTTGACTGGACTTTGATATGTGATGCAATTGACCAGGAAGCACCTCCACCTGTTGCTAGGGAACGCCAGGCACCTCCTTGAAAAGCAACCGTAAAATCGTCGTCAGCTGATAAATAGACAACATCAGAACGTTGTCCAACGGTGGTGCTTAACGGTGCTGAAATATCCGTACATCGTGGCCTGACACCAGGTGGAACGTAACCAGTTGCACCAGAATTGCAATTGCTTATGCAATCGAGTGTTTCAGTTAGCAGATTAGTATATCCGCCAGCTTCAATAAATGCATTAGTAGCAATGTCAGCCGTTGTACATGTAATCAGTGGATATGTCCATGAATAGGTCTGAGTTATTACAATCGCCACTGGTGATCCAGTAGCAGATTCATACAATGGATGCCACGAAATAGTTCCACCGAGAAAATGCGATCCATAGACAATGATTAGTGAGCTTAATAATAGTAGCGAGACCAAAACGACCATCATTCTTAATGATGATTCTTCTAATGAAAAATAATAAAGTTAGAAAATGAAGGAAAAATTTAGTTTGTATGTCAAACTGTCATCCTTCACATTTGTGCATCATCAAATTCTTGAAAATAAAAAAAAGAAAGAAATTTGATTTGTTTTATCGCAAGCGTCGTGCATAACAAAGTCATAGTCGCATTTTCGATCTTAATTTCGTAGAATATGTTTGCATGTCTACGACAGAGCATAATACTTCTGCGATTTAAAAACAAATGAAGCCAAACATAGTGACCTACATGAAATTCATCCGCTAGAATAGAATGAAAGGTTTCCTGAAAAGAGAAACTGGTTCTGTTTCATAACGTAGTTGAATTTTTTTTTCATTATTTTTTTATCGCCATGTCTGATGAAACAGATCGAATAATTTCCAAAAGAGATAATTATGCTTCGCAACAACGGTATAAATTTCATTATAAAAAAACAACAATGATTTCAATACTCTGATATTACTTCCAAAGTCGTCTTTTTCAGAGATTCTACTTCAATCAGTTGTATATTACATATAGTACCACTTACAAATATTGGAATCATAGCTTCTAACGGACTAGACTGGGTCTAAGAAGCTATATACAGTGTAGATGGCTCATGGGCCGTTTATCTAGTGAATTACTTTGTGCAAAGATAGTTAGATCCCCGTGCTGATAATAGCCATTTATTTCATACAATCAACTATGTCAGACAACCTTTCGTAAGAAAAGAAAATCAAAAAATAAAGCTAAAAATAATAGAAGACGTTCACATAAGACTTTCTGGTAGAGGGAAAGATGTGCCTCAAAACTAGATAAATCTGAATAGAGAAAAGAAAGTCGAACATTTCTCAACATCCTGACACTTATGAGGAATATTTTTCTTTTTTCTTCACATAACTTTCTGCGAAATCATGAAGCCTAGTTTGTTTTGAAAAGCATTTTTAAATATGAAATGAATCAATTGAATATGGATACGGGTTAAAAGAATTGCGGATTATGTTACATGCACAGATAATTATTTTCAGAAGCAGTTATATGATCCTTGTTATATTTTGGAGTATTATTAGTGTTAAAATTCATTTTTTTTGTTTTCCTCTTTTATATTTTCTGTTCATTAAAACACAATGTAATTAAAAACAAAATCTTGCACTAATTTACATTTCTTCGTTTCTTATGAAATTTGTTTTGTTTGCCCATTTTATATTCATTTTTTAATTTTGATATATTTATTTAACGAACGATTCTATTTTTAATGATATTTTTATTAAAAAATATTCCACAACAATCTTTTTTGGTATAATTTATCTGAAGAAAATAAACAAAGAAATGATTCAACTTTATTTCGTGAAAATAATCTTTCATAATAGTAGAAATTCAAACAAAAAACTAAAAATTAAAATTGATACTTCACTTTTGAAATAGCATTGATATCCAACAAAGCAAATTTCATTTTAAACAAAAGAAAAAGATCTTTGTTTTCAGGTTATATTTAAAATATCATATTCTCTATTTATAAATATAAAAATATTCATGGATACAATTGGAATAGAAAAAAAATTCAACGCAATGGTGTTTTATTTTAATTTTATTTTTACAAATTTCATTACATCCATCCACAGAATAGAAGCTATGTGAGCCTCTAATTTGTTTTGCAAATCAAATAATTAAAATTGGGTTTCTATTGCGACCATTTTTTTTTGTTCTGCAGCTATGCTTTCATTAGCTTACAAGTATAGAAATTTTCAAATTGTATGATTAGTTTCAGAATATCTATAATAGTTTCTATGAAATCAGAAATTGGCTATCAGTTTTGTTCCTCTACTCGCTAGATCCTGGTATGAATGTGAACAATTACAGTTAATACAATATTTTAACTAAGTAATTGCCGATGCTGTACCATCTCATATTCTATTGTATGGAAAAAAATCTATTCTATTTCTAGAAAACATATACAACACAAAAGAAAAGAAACATATAAATAGAGCTATAATTGAAAAGTGAGAAGCAATAAACTAATCTGTCCAACAATTTCTTACATCATTTGTTTTGTGCTGAGATCGGACACAGTAGGTTTCTATTCCATAGTGTGGAGATCATTCAAGAAAATGATCAAAAAGTTCAAGAAATTATTAATATAATTCATTATTTTGCATGAACTTCAAAATTATTCTTTACTCTTACTTTTATTACTTTTTCTATGACAGGTATATTTAGTTCATTATCAAATAAGATGTCAAACACAATAGATCTACTTTAATCTCAAGTGCAAATATTTTACCACTACTGATAGGAGACTGATTTGAGAGAGACTCTCAATGTATTTTTTTTGTATACAGATTATCAGAAAGTTTTGTCTTGTGAGTGTGACATTTAGAAAAGGCAAAGATTTCAATTGACTTTCTTATAGTAAAATACATATACATAATAGAATTTAATAATTTAGACAATATTGGATATCTAAATGCTACTAGGTTGTACACATTGTTTTTACTTTGACTGTTGCAGAGTAATTTTTTTTCTCTTTTTGACTAGAATGCAAAAATAACAACAGAGATATCGTTAATTCGACTGAAAAATAAAATTTTATTTTCATAGAGCCAACAATCAAACAACGAGTTTTACCATTTGAAATATACTGTTCATTCTGGGTAAATGATTCAAGTGAAAGAAACCATACTATTTTCATTTGATTCAATCCATTCAGCTATATGTATCATACAGCAGGGCTATTGAAACAATTGCCAATTCATAGATTAGAGTTTAAAAATCATGAAAGCATTGAAACAAATTAATACGAGGATTTTTCGTATAGGCATACGACAAAATCAATAAAGTTTTTTGAATTATCATTGGAAAACCTTTTGTCGGTTATGATCTTGGCACATCTATCAATATTTATTTATTTATTTATTTGTTTATTTTTGTCGAGTTCCATTGTATTAAAATATTCAATCAGTGGAAATCTAGTTAACAGATGTGAGTGTGATTCTTGTGAACATCGAAACCTACACCCACATCTATAAATATAATCGCAAAAACGTCGGCCACTGCACTCATATTCTATATGGATGTGAATGTGGATGTAGGTCTTCCCTTAAACTATACCCACACCCACACTTTACTCTACAAAAACTAATTTAACCATAAACATTGCCCTACAAGCGAATATATTAATAAGAATTAAATGTTCAGTTTGAAACTTCTACAGAAAACAATGTACGAAAAATTTTCCATGTAAAGTAATTTTCGAGGCCTGTCAAAGATTCTCTTACCAGACACAAGCAAAAACACTCATACATGATCTCAGATCATATATTCAGAAAGAGCACGGTATTTCGAATTTTAAGAACTGATTTTATTACTTGTTAGTTGCCTTTTGAAGGAGTGAAAGCTAAGATAATTTGTTTTAAGAAGACTTTTGCGATTGGATTTATATGAACTCATATTTATGATCGATACAGTGTCTCTTCCTTGGATAGTTTACAATGTGATATAAATATATCACCACTTTTATCATTGGAAAGAATCGTGTCATAGAGTCAATTGAAATTTCAAACGAAGACTATACTGGATCTGAATATATTTTTTTCATTAAACATATCTTTCAATAATTTTCATGGTAGAATGAAAAATTCAGAAAAACTTCTCTCTTCTTACAATAATCTACTATCTAATAACTATGATAAGATTCTGTATTAATGGGATATAAATTTTATGAAAAAGAAAAAGAAAAAACTCATACAGAATTTCATTTTTTCACAAACTACGGTTTGGAATAGATTTTATCCATAAGACTTTAAAAGTAATTAATTCTACTTTAGAATTTTTTAAAGTTTGTATTCTTAAAAGTAGAAAAATAGATGAAAATGGAAAAAAGTATTATAAAAAAGACAAAATTTTCCAACAAAATATAGATAAATAAACTATCTTATAATCGTATAAATTTTAAGAAATAATTCTTAATCGATATTTATATACAAGGCAAAATTGCGTTCTATAACATTTAAGATATTATTTGTTTTTAACAAAATCTTGAGGTGTGGGTGTGTATTATGCAAAACAAAGCCACAACTAGTTTCAACCTTTCTCAAGGGTCTCATTAGATAGCTTTAGTTCTGCATTGTCTTAGGAAACTAAACTTGAAAGACAATTTATGATAGATAAATCGCCAAGATTTAATTCCTAAGCACAAAGAAAGTAGGAAGTTTTGTCATTTGGTGTGGATGTGGATGTAACGTGGGTGTGGAGATGTTGTTATTCAGCAAGAGTCCGACACTCACGTCTGCAACCTTTATTGTCTCTTGAACCCTGAAGTTGATGAAAATAGTACGAGAAAAAAAGAGACAGACAGATAATGTTAGACATGGACAACGATTATAGAATTTAGAGAATGTGTGCGAGGAGAAGATCGCACTTAGACCTTCACTTATGGCTACACCTTCCTGAAGATTGTTTTGAATCGGCATTGGTTTTATTATTGGTATTTAGAGCAAAAATTCTAATAGGGGGACCCTAAGAAAGTCAAACCATAAGATTATTGATGTTGAACCATCCGATATCGTGGCTTTCTTTCAAAAAAAAACTTTGGCCTATGTGCTGGGCTGAGTTTGATTGAGCCCAGCTCATTAGAAGCTCGAATCACGATTACATTATTTATTTTCAAGAAAAATGTTCGTTGAATCGCACACAAGGAGTCAATGCTCTTTAATAAATATTAGGTTTTTCAGTTTTTGTTCATAATAGTCACATAATATTATTTAATAAAAGACAGTCATAATCAGTAATATGGTTTAGGACAATGTCACAGAAGCCGTGATTCCTGATCCACTTCCGCCTGCTTGTATCCAAAACTTCACAGTGTAGACTTGCCCTTTTGTGACTGCAAAACTTTGAGCGATTTGATGAGCAGTCCCGACGCATCCATCTTGAAGGCTATAGCTACCAGTGTTTGGTAAAATCATAGTGACCTTAGCTCCTGAACTTGAACAAGCCCCGTTTGGTGAAGATACTATCCACGCAGATGACAAAGAACCTGATTCAAAGCCTCCATTAATCAGAATATTAGCACCGCCATTGGAAACTGACACATCGTCAACATACCAATAGTCGGGATCATTACGAAATTGAAAGGTCAGAGTAGCTGTGCCCGTTTTATTAGACGTCCATGAAAATGCTTCGCAGGTATATAAGATTATGGGAGAAGACGTTGTCAAGAGGTTACTGGAAGAACCGACATTGATTGGTGTACAGGGAGGCGTCGAAATTGTCGCTAATTGTAAATAAGAATGAAAATTCATTGAGAACCAGAAATAAAGGATCATTATTCTTGCTGTTTTCTAATCCTTCGCTCCAGCAGAGAGAAATCTCATACAAGCATGATTTCTACACGCGAAGGAGCAAACATATTGAGACGTTTTTGTTGAAGTCAGTTTTCCGTTATTTTTCGAACAAAACAGCAGCTTTATTTGACATTTTCTGATTAATTCTTATCCTTAAGATCATTTTGCCGTGTAGACTATTGGCAAAATCCGAAAATTAGCAAGAGAAACTGCTATATTGTTTGACAATTTGATTAAAACGACGGCCTGAACAGAGTCACTTGAGTAATACCCTCTGACTATCAGTAAAATTCAAATTCTTTCGAAATGTTTACCTGATTGAGCGGACAAAAAAAATTGCAGTGTCCTTCTTCAAACACAGAGCTTTTCCTATCATTCAAGCTAGCTTTCTAATCAAAACAAAAGAGCAATTTCAAACAAATGTGAAGCTAGATTAAAATGTTTGGTTTCCCTGTGATTCTCGTAGATTAAGAGGTAAAAGGGTACTTTCTGTTATAATAAGTGTTGTCAGATCTCTGACATTTTGGTTATTAGTGACAATAATGCACGTGTTCAAACAGTGAAGATTATCTCTGTTAGTGTTTAACAATATATGGAATACAAAGAAAAAACAAACCCTTATTTCGGACCCACGAACTTTTCGGCATCTTCTTGCTAGAGATAGTATAACTTACATGTTAAAATATTTACTGTATAATCATGTGTTTCGCCGTATGTATTAGATGGGCTACATGGATTAGGCGTAGACAAATAGACTAATGTTGCTCTCATTCGATGAACACCCGTTGTAGCTCCCGCACCGATCACAGGAATGGTCACAGTAACTGGTGTATCAGAAGTCCCAATTGAGATTTGGTTTACAACATTTTCAAATGTTTCGAAAACGCAATTGTCATTGAAATCAATCCAGATCGATAAGGAATCACCCGAGAAAGTTTGGCTTGCTACCCAAGCAGTATAGCTCTTGTTCGCCAACAAACTGACTGATTGTTGAGTTTCATCATCGTAGCTATTTGCAGCACAACCAGATGACAAGTTATAAAGTTGCGTGTTACTTTCTCCTCTCATTGCAAAATCATCTATAACATCCTTCGCACTGCAATCAACCACACGCGGCGCACAATAAGCATTTGTAACAGTTACGATCGTCGATATAAAATTCATGATTGTTGGAGCCCGAATGTAGATTTGACATCTATAATCAGTTGAATTTGTCTGATTTGTTACTGACAATGATGAAACTGTACGGACTGTACTGATGTTAGACCAAATATTTTGACCAGTAGACGAAGACTGCCATTGATAGGTAACATTAGTTGCACTGAACGAGATATTGGTCAAGGACAAATTAAAACCTGAACAACCACAAAATGTTGCGCTACTGCTAACAGCAATAGCTGGGGTTGGCGTTGTTGTTGCGGTCGTGCTGGTCGTAGATGTTGTTGAAGTTGTTGTTGATGTTGATGTTGCTGACGTTGTTGTTGAGGTTGTTGAAGTTGTTGATGTTATTGATGTTGTCGAAGTTGTTATCGTTGATGTTGTTGTTGTTGTTGATGTTGTTGATGTTGTTGTTGTTGTTGTTGTTGTTGTTATTGATGTTGTTGAAGTTGTTGATGTTATTGATGTTGTCGAAGTTGTTATCGTTGATGTTGTTGTTGTTGTTGATGTTGTTGATGTTGTTGTTGTTGATGTTGTTGATGTCGTTATTGATGTTGTTGAGGTTGTCGATGTTATTGATGTTGTCGTTGACGTTGTTGACGTTGTTGTTGATGTTGTTGAGGTTGTTGTTGCTGATGTGGTTGATGTTGTTGATGATGTGGTTGAAGTTGTTGATGTTGTTGTTGTTGTTGTTGTTGTTGTTGTTGATGTTGTTATTGATGTTGTTGAAGTTGTTGATGTTATTGATGTTGTCGAAGTTGTTATCGTTGATGTTGTTGTTGTTGTTGTTGATGTTGTTGAAGTTGTTGATGTTGTTGACGTTGTTGAAGTTGTAGAAGTTGTTGATGTTGTTGAAGTTGTTGATGTGGTTGATATTGTTGTTAATGATGTTGTGGAAGTTGTTGAAGTTATTGATGTTGTTAATGTTGATGTTGTTGATGCTGTCGTTGTTGATGTGGTTGACGTGATTGATATAGTTGAAGTTGTTGAAGTTGTTGATGTTGTTGATGTGATTGTTGTTGTTGATATGGTTGAAGTTGTTGAAGTTGTTGAAGTTGTTGATGTTATTGTTGTTGGTGTGATTGATGTTGTTGTTGTTGATGTGATTGATGTTGTTGTTGATGATGTTGTTGAAGTTGCTGTTAACATGGTTGATACTGTTGTTGTTACTGTTGTCGAGGACTCTGTATGACTACTAATTGAATGGCTTATAGTTATAGCGAGAGCTGCAGTCGCAGCACCTAAGCTAAGGATGGATGTGAGACACACAAGAAACATTGCCAAGCGTCTGAGTCGTCTTCTTTTTTTCTTTTCTTTTTCATCCTTTCTATTAAAATAGGCATGATACAATACAAGCGCTATCATCAGAAACATGTACAAACCTAGCGTTGGTTGTTGACGAAACAGATGGTAGATTTACCACGTCCACTCGAACATTCGACGGCTCTGTGGTCTTTAATAATAAATGAACATGAATATGTTGAGATTTTCATGAAATATTGCAAAGAATCTTATCGCAGAATTACAACTCGCTCTCATAGTTGCCTAAAAGCTGCGTGGATAATCTTTAACTGCAACCAATATGTAGCTCAACAAAATATTTCACTGCGTACTTGAATTAAGGTTCGTGATAGGTATGTAATAGCTCTAGCTCGCGCGAGCTGAAGCTATTCACCAGATTAGTTCGCAAGACCAGGAGCTGGAACTGGCTGACCGATTCTTTTCATATCAGCTATCTTAGGGAAGTACCAGTATGTCCTCAAGACCCATCCTATACGGCTATCCATAGATCCTCAAGAGCTCTCCTATAGGGGTATCCATAAGTTCCCAAGAGCTAGCGTAGGGAAGTACGCATAACTCTTCAAGCGTTATATGTGAGCGATGCCCGTAAGTCTCTAAGAGCTATCGAAGTTTGGTACCGTTGACTTTTCAAGGACTGGCTAGATGTAGTTCTGGTTACTCTTCAAGGGCTGTCTGTCAGATGGGTTGTCGGATACCGTTAGCTGTTCAAGAGATATGTAGTGCTAATCGTCATAGATTATCAAGGACTTTCAGGCGTAGGCCGCAAAACTATGGCAAGGACGTTACTCGCTCGTCGGCCACTAATTGGTGTGAGATTTGATACCAAATACTGGACTCCAGGGTAACTTAAAACTCATATACTTGAGTTTTCCTTCAAGAAGTAAGAGTGGATCGTGTTTCTTAGTTCGATCTAATTTAGTCACGTAATGGAGTGGTTTTGCTTCATAATTATTATTATGTTGAACGGATTGTATTTGACAAATTTGAGGCATCGTTGAGCTCCTATCTATTCAAATGTCGATTCAGGATGCAGTCGTACGGATCATATTGGAGAGGATCCCAACTAACTCTGTATTAGTCCGAAAAACACTATATTCTGTACTCACAATAGCACAGAAAAGCTATGCTATATCCTGATTGGTGAGAAGATATTTCTATCAGCGGATAAAATTTGAGAAATGTATTTGGCCGATATTGTAAGGTTACAACATGCAGTTGTTCTACTCACGTTGGAGGGAACCTATAATAATACAGGATGGGTCGAAACAGCATCAAGTGCTATGATTGCAGTAGGCCACTTCACATGAGTCAGAATTCCAGCTAGCCCAGGACTGGCCCCAGCAATACAACATTTTGTTGTTGTATAAGTGAAGAAACGGCTTGTTAAAATTTAATTAGTTTTTAGAAAAGCTGATGATTAAACTAATTTAAGTATGACTTTGTTCGCTATTATAACGCGAGAACAGAGTATTGCCCGCGCCACTCTTGGATTACCACGAGTTCTCTTTCACCTGAGCTGAGTAACAGTATACTTTGTCATCACAACAAAGGAGAATGATATGCATGCATACATATCGAACGAGAAGAAAAAGAGAAACCAATTAAAGATCAAAAAGGGTTGAAATAAGATAGAGAATAATATATGGATAGTGAATATGTATAAGTGCGACATCACTGTAACAAACGGCCAGGAGAGCGCTCAAAAGTACAAAACTGACCGATTTCATGTGCTTTGGTATTTCTCACTTCGAATTCAGAATGACTTTTGCTAGAAAAATGTTGATTTCTTGATCAAAAAACATCGAAACACATTCCAACCATAACAAGATCAAGTGAATGTGAATGATGTCATACTTTCCGGTGCTCTATTTACTATAATAGAATAGCAATTGAAGAGTGTTCAAGATTGATACTTTCGGGAATTTTCTTGTGGCATCTGTTATATTCGATATTTTCACTTTTCCGAGCTTTTTAGAATTTTCTTTTGGAATTATTAGACATCTCTGCAGTCAAATGTATTCTATTCTACTAGTATTCTCATTTTTGTTCATTTACTGATGAAAAGAGAGTAAGCATAAGTATTTTATAACAGAGATCTGCGAGTCAGTCTCGTACCATCGCTCGCGCTTATGTGCATCACACGACTCTTTTATTTTTTTGCTTTCTAAACGCATTTCGCAAAGGTTAATTCTTGTCTACAGTGTTTCCCAGCCGCTATGGCTGAATAGTTAAATTGCTCGACACGTACTACTAAAGTACTGTGTTTGGATCTCGATGCCATCAGACATAGAATGACCTTGGACAAGTCATTAACGGCTACTTATCTCAGATCACCTGTGCAATAGAATACTAACTACGTTATGACATGCACCAACTCTTGTGGCTAGTATATAGTTAGTCAGCGTGTACCGGAAGCTCAAGCGATTGAACAAAAGAACTCTGAGCCAGGCTGGCCTTCTGTCCAGAACTGTAGCTAGTAATATTTGTAGGGAAAAAATTAGGCTTTCGAAACTGTCTTCGAACAGCACCCTATATCGCAAGATAGACGAAAGGCCAGTCAATTCATATTGTCACTGTATTGGAACCTACCACAAATGAAAATCAGGAGGAAAGTCTAAAAATCAGCTTCTAAAACTAGGAGATTCTTTGTCAGAGAAAGAGTCAAAATATCAGAAATCTTTTGATGAAATCAGAAGATCCAGTAGACCTGCATTGCTGTAAAGATATTAACATTTCCTAATGTGTAATATCATTTCATCACCTTTATATGTACACGAAAAATTTTAGTTGGATCAGTCAGATTAATCTTAGATTGTCCAGGTGACAGAGTATTCTATTCGCAAGACCCTGAGTGAACTATTTACACGAAATTAATGCTTCAGTGCTTCTTGTGAAAAGCTTACGCTGAAATCCAAAGATTATTTACATTTTTATAACACTTGAGTTTAAATAGAATCTGAGGGTTCCGATTAAACCTATTCTCTCGATATCAGCTGTGGCTTACATGAACTTCTTGTTTTCAAGAGCTATTCTTCATGCTGATAATGACTTTGGTCTGAAGGAAAGAGCTTTGTTTTTAATGTTTATGCAATGTGATGTACCTGACAAACTGGGTATTTTGTCAATGACTATATTATATCAATAAAAAAAGCTTGTTAGCGCAGCTCCTTCGAGATTAAAATGTGAAACTCACATATGTCTGTAATGGAGAGGGGGAGGAAGGAGAGCCGCAAAACTTCGACTTAAAATTTATGCTCACTATTTTCTTCGAAAATATATGAGAATTCTACAAATCAATTTTTCTATTAGGATGAGTGGCACTTCGTATCGTAGTGAAATAATACAACTATAATACACTTTAATGTCAAATTCATTAGATCAGCTCTAGCATCTATACAGAAATCTCGTGTAAGCCGAAATCAAATAGTTCACATGAGTTCTATTTTGTTTGAATTTTGCATTGTTCACCGTCGAGTGATCTTTTCAAAGTGAGTCTTTAATTTCCATATTCCAACATCTCTACTAAACAATGAAAGGCTTATTTACCGGTGAATAACGAGGTGTTGAACGCACAGAATACATGTCTTTGGTGTCCCAAGTGCTGCGATTCTATATAATACAAAAGTATTTTATTCAACAATCTGTACAGTTTAGTATGCAGATATAATTACCATTTTTTAAAAAATGCTGATGAAGACGTTGGCTCTCGTGTGACTCTTGTACGAAGAATATTTTGTACTCATAATCGCCCAGAAAAAAACATCACTTATATATTCAGATGAAAGGTTTTGTTTTTCTTTTTTATCACCCTGGAACTGTTTTCTAACTCATTAAAACTAATTCAGATGTTGTTTGTCTCTGTGTACTTTAGATTAGCTGTGGACACTATTAAATGAGTTCAAAGTTATTGCAGAATACTTACAGCTTTTCATGTTATTTCATGAATTTCTTTTTCTTTCATCTTAAATAATTGTTGTTGTAATTTAATGTATTTGACTTAACTTTAAAGAGCCTGTATGGCTTCATTTTGAATAACAATTCATCTATTCTACAAAAGAACAATACAACCATTTCTTTTGTCACGATTATACTTCAGAAATGTAATTTTGAAGATCTGAGTGGATGTGTGCCTTCTCATTTGTGAACATAAACTCGAAATTCAAAAACTGTTAAATTCAATTTCGTTTGTTTTTTTCAATATAAATTATTTAAATAGAGCACTATCTTAACTCTCAAATTTTTGTTGTCTAAATTCTTAAAAATTTACTCATATCAATTTGAACAAAAACTTATTTTATGATGCAAATTTTTTATTAAACTTAACCGAAGATTTCAAATTTTTGTCTTTTAAATTTAAAAAAAATTTACTTATAACAATTTTAATAAAACTTATATTCTCAATTTTACTTTTAACGAGCTGTAATTCATAGATTTTGCTAAAGATTGAGATTCACTATTTCTATTTAATGAGCCATAAGTTGTAGAACGCACAAAATTACTGCACTTTTTTTTCTTCTTAATTAACTGCAACTTATAGAGTTCGCCAGAGATGATTGTTGTTAAGTCGACTGATTGCACAAAGTGCAAAAGGCGACTTATTGTTTTTCACTCGCTTAGTTGTCATGGCAAATTCTTTTTCTTTCTTCTTGTCGACACATAAGTCACGATTCAAATCAGGCATCCGTTCTTTGCAACTAAGCATCGTTTAAAATTGGGACCAAATTTGTCGATATCATGAGAATATCACGAGTGCACATCTGAAATCCGATTTTTTTAAAATTTGACTCCATTCAGGAGCTATAAAAATGTGGAAAACAATAATTAATAGCTGATACTTTCCTTATATGGTCATACATGATACACCCAGGACGAGAAATCCTCGACTCGAATCCCATCAGATCCTATAGAATGTCTCGTATAATCTGATAAATTCCCACGGATAATCCGGTAGTTTTGAATAGGGTCCCGTCAGAAATTGTTGGAATTCTTGGTATCGACTTTCGATACGAAGTTGTCGAATATCGGATCCGTCAATCGGAAAATGTTGGATAGTCGAAGGTCCAATGGAATCCTACTAGATTTCTGCAGCTAAACCAGATATTACTAGCATTATGCATACTTCACTCATTAGCTTTGAAATGATTTAATTAATATTTGATTCTTATTATATTATTGATACAAACTATTAGCAGTTCTTGGGTTTTAATTTTCCCATTGGTTGTTTTGAATAAATCGAAAAATTTAATGAAAATGTTTTAGTGTTCAACTAAAACTTGAATTTAATCCCATTATTTTCATCTGATCAAAATACTGGAAATGAAATAAAATTTAAATTTAAAGGTAGAATCAGATTGCACTTAGAAATTGGAATTGATAAGAATTCAACAATAATCGAATTTTATAGCAATTTTTTTAAAACCTCTGTTTTTTTATGTGTCGAATAGTATTGCCTAATAGTTCTTGTTCACTTGGATTAATAAACCGTCATCAATTAGACGCATGAGTAATCTGTCAAAACATGATTCTTGGATGATTATGTATCGCCGTAGACAATAATAAGCAAATTAAGAGAGAAATAAATGAAAGAATTATGCTATTTGAGTGTGAGTGTCGGTGTAAAAAGAAAAGAAACATACCCACACCCACACCTTGCAACACGATGTGTTCCAGTTCAGATATATTTTCGTTTTCCTCTTCGTCAGTTAATAAATCGTCAGTGGAGACAAATAATAATGATTTTTTACCATGTCCATGGCGTGGCAATAGTAACTGAGAGATATCATGAAGAATACATTGTGGGTACGATTAAATGTTTAGTCTATGAATGTGGCTGTGGAGGTGTTAAGAGAAGTTCTTCACCCACAGAGGCACCCACACCCGTACCCTGCGAATTTCAGGCAGACGACAATAATGATATAGCAGCGCTGATCATTTTTAAATAAAATCGTTTCGTGAATTATTTTAATTTGGGTGTATGTAATACAACAAAAGATATAAGCCTATGTCGGAGAAGAAGATAGTCTCAAATAGACAACAAGGCCATTCACTGCATTACTTGATATATCAGTATGCATAGACAGGTGTGTTAAGAATGCATGCGAGAGGTAGAGTAGTGTCCGCGAAAAATGAAATGCTGATAAAAATATGATAAAGAGCAACAAACAATGCTTATCTTTAACAAAGACAGTTTTGCAAGCTTCAAGGTGTGAGCAGTATTCCATTACAATTTCAAGTCAATAAACTTTATACGAAGGATTCAATATGAATAAAAAAAGTTCTACTGAATTAGAAAAGGTAAATTTTCTATCAAATCGAGCAAGTTTATTGAAGTGTGCCGATCTCACTATGAAATAGAGTGCATAGGTTTTATGCAGAAATTTTTTTCTTTCTCTTGTCTTCAGCAAACCGACATCCTTCTCTTTATGACAAATATACGTTCTCGCATTGTTTGCATACAATGAAACTACTCATCTTTATTTGTTTTTTCCTCCACTGGAAAGAGGATCATACGCTGAGTGAACTATTTTCGTTCGTTCGTATCTTCGTATGTTTGTTCGTTCGTTCATTCATTACAGCATACAGTACCTGCGATAATTCATTACACCATTTGTGATAAAGTTTGACCAAAGGTTTTTGGAACCAAAGAATTCAGATCTATGATTAGTTTTTCAAAACTTTGAACTCAATTTTTTGGCAAAAAGACTTTTTTAGAAAAAAATGACTGCCCCTATTGAAAGTATGTTCATACGCAGAATGAATTAGCTACGTTCATTTCTGAGTATGTCAGAAGGTGAATAGCAGAATCCTGGAATCCAGAATCCCATACGTTTCTAGGATTCCCTCGAATTCCGTGAAATTTCTCAGAATTCCATAAGATTCACTCGGATTCTGTAGACTTCTTCACTACTCCATGAAATTGCCTTAGATTCCACAGCATTCCTAATGATTCTCAGTAAGCGTCGAAGATTCTATAAAGATTAATCATCTGCGTCACAACAGCTTTTCATGTTGGTATCTCGTCTACCTTTTTTCTTCGTTTCTAACCATCGATATAAGTACATATCGATGACTAGCTAATCGTATTTGGTCGATCTGTGGTTCTTAGAGTTACCTTATCGGCGTCTCAACCACAGCAGCTTAACCTGTTTTTTTCGTTGATCTGTCAATAAATTGAGAACAGTTTATTCTAATAGAGCTCTAAATGCATAGTAGCATCAATGAGTTTGTTTATTAATGACTAAAATTTGACATGCTTTGATACTAATGATCATCTAATTAGCGTAACAGTATTCATAAATGTTCGAATCGTTTTTTATTCAATTTTACTTGCTTCGATAACTCGTGATAATCTCTCAGTCGACGGACGCTAAGGTTCCTCAGTCAATAACTATGAGGCTAACCATTTCTGTGAATATTTATTGAAATTAACACGTTTTAGGTTGTAATATAGATGTGACTGTATGTGTGCGTGGATGTAGACAAGACTACGTCTACACTTACACCCATTTCTGCTTTGTTTCTCAACATGCACCGTATCGATGTTTATTTGCAAATGATAAGATTCTTATTTAAGAACTGAGATTCAAGATTTTTTCTTTTTACTATTTATATATGCATGAAATTGAATCTAAATAGCAATGGTATTATTCGCCAATCCTCCTATTATGATTGAAACATTTTTAAAATCTTTTATTTTCAAAGATTTACTGCCTTGTTTCGATACTTATTTGCTATATTCTATTCTGTTGTATGTTTACTATTCATAGTATGAAATATACATTAAAAGAGATAAATTTATCTGCTTAATTCAAAAGAAGGGCTGTCGTACCCTGCAACTTGATGTGCTATTTCTAATGAAAAAAAGTCATTGATTACAATGAAGCTCCTTTGAGAGTTCTGAAATGCACGATTAAAAAACTATAAAACCATAAACTGAGAAAAAGCGAAAAAGATCTTCCGATTTTGACGGAAAAAGCATATTTCTCAAGTCGAGAATGACGAAAATTTCTGGGAAAAATAAGATGCCAAATCAGAAGTCATATCACTTATGAAAGACCAAACAGCGGACTATCTTCCCATGCATCCATCTAAAATTTCTTGTTTTCGACGGGAATTGAAGTTGTTTTTGTGGGGGCGTAAGATTTCAAGACTTTATTGAACTCCTTATGATTTCGAAGAATTACCTAGTATTTCTTAGAATTCTGAAGAATTCCTTAGGATTTCGTAGAATTTCATAGAATTCCAACAGATTCGAGGAGTCTGGGATTCCGTGATTCACCCCTTGGAGCATGGATGGAATCCGCCTAATTTTTTTCAAACCGGTACCGATACTGGACCGACCGATATACCGATTTATAGGCAACAAATCTAGTCCTAAAATGGAATCTTCTTCCATAGTGAACAGTTTTGAGTTAAATTGATAGCTTGCCGCATACTGGCATAATGCTTCACTATTGACAACAATAGTTTCATTGAGAGCGTTCTCTACACTATTTGTTAAACTCTTTGTTGCATGCATGATCAGCGAGATTAAGCTTGGTTTCACTTATTGTGTTTTATATGGATGCAATCATAGATCAGGAAAGTGGAAAATTTAGACTGGTATAGACCGATAAGGGTGGTAACCGGTACCAGTTCCATCTATGATATTCAACGAGATCGCATCTTTTTAGTGGAGGATTAGTGACCTTTGCGTCGTGTTACATGTCTCATCTTCGATGATATAAAAAAGAATTCAATCAAAACATGAATCTGTTCATTGCAAACAATCATTATTGCATTCTTCAAGATTTTCTATTAGATCACATTTGGGATCCTGTATATACTTTCTCAGATTGCTATCTAGTATGAGATTATGCGTATGGAGAAGTTACGCGAAGTCGTTCATCCGCACTCACGACCAGAAGGAAGTTCGTTTATCATAATATGAATTGTGATTATTTAGTACATCAATCAAACTTACAACAGCAGAAGAGTACAAAGCCTAGGTAAGTTTTAATGTCAGATGCCGTTGTAGAAATTGCCTTGCACATAAAGCTTTCAATATGAGAGCTACATGAATGCATAAAAGATCTGTATGCAAGTGCATGCACGACCAATGAAGGTTAATTTACAAGTATTAATCTATGTTTAGTTAAAGATGGACAGACTAGTGAGGCTGAAAAATTCCAGTAAGCAAATATTCAGTTCGATCAACAATGTTTTCATTTACTTTTTAATATAGCATAAAAGACTTTGGAAAGATAGTATTCGCCGTAAATGGCCGTGAATCACAAGTAAAATGATGAGAAAAATGGGGATATATTTAACTATAGATTTTATAGTATGTGCGCATCCCATTCGTTCTATCCGAACAGCAGAAAAAATTTGCATCCACACTATCATCATCACAAAAACTGACAAATGACCAGAGTGCAGTTGTGTACCGGAGACATGTACGATTTTCTAGCCCTCCTTTTAACAACTCTTCCAGAAACGATTCGTCAGCGAAATTTATCGTTGAACTTATGGAAAAGGCCTGGGAACTACAAAAACCCAATTTAATCATTTCGGTGGCTGGGGGAGCGCAGCTTTTCAAATGGTCAACCTCTCGAATGCGAGATGACTTTCAGCGTGAACTTATTGCAGCGGCCACCACTACGGGTAAGATTCTTTATCATATCACAAAGGACATTAAAGAAAAAGATATCAATATCAATCTTCGTTGTTTAAATGAAGAATTCAAACGACTTGTTTCTTTTTGACATTAGATGCGTGGATTATCACAGGAGGTATTCATGCTGGGATAGTCAAAGAGGTGGGCGATGCGGTCGATAAATGTCGCTACAAGAAGAGCAAAATGAAATCCAAAATTCAATGTATTGGGATTGCCAATTGGAAGAACATCATTGGTTGCGTACTTTTTTAATAGATCTTGCTCCCATTTGACATCGGAAATCTTCCTTTAGATCACAAAGATCTTACTCAACAACAACCAGAAGTGGTTCCACAGGAAAATAAATCATCACGTTTCTTGTCATCACTTCGAAGAAATATGTCTACGGGCCAAACTGCAATTTCTATCAGAAGCGAGTATAGTATTCATGAAATTACGATGAGACATCCATCGATACCACAGATAAGAACAAATTATAAAGAACTGAAAAAGATGTATCGCAATCGGTCGGTCATGTTCAATAAAGAAAAGAATAGGCTTGGGCTAGATCCGAATCATACACACTTTGTGCTACTGGATAACATTCAGATGACCTCTGCGAATAACCAAACTTCTTGTTATCAAACAGATCCGGTAATTGCTTTGCGCGCTGAAATCGAACATCAAATCAAAGAAAGTAAGACATTATTTGATCATATGTGACTTTTGAAATCGTATTTCTATGTTTTTCAAGCATTTAAAATACCTATCATACAAATATTGGCTAATGACGATGCTTCATCAGTCATGACAGTATGTAATGCTCTCAGACACGGCACACCTATCATTTTGATTGAGGTAATCGGTCTTTGTATGTCGATAATTCGGATATAATGTCATGATAGGGCACTGGTCAAGTTGCGAATGAGTTTGCTAAGTGGTACAGACATCTCTACGGCTGCCATTTGATGAATCCTCAAGTGTATCGTTCAGACGCTATCTACGCAGAAGCTCGAAGAAGCACATTCGAAATATTGTAAGCATTAGCTGTTGTCTTTCATAGCCATACCATTGATATTCACTAGTAAACAAACAATACAAGATGACAGTCAATCTACTGCTGTGAATGTTCCCGACAAAGAAAAGTTTTTCGAAGCACTAACATCCAAGGACGGGTATAAACTCATTTGGATAACTCAATTAAGAAACAATCAAGGGGGATGCAAACTAGACGAGACTATCTTTTATGCCTTGTTCAATGGTATTGAACTAATCTTTTTGTTCTTTTTAATCTTGTTCATATTATGTCTATTAGCGACAAACATGATTCGATCGGGACAAGGTAGAGAAGTCCAAGAATTCAAATTAACCATGGCTTGGAACAAGTTTGATCGTATTCAACCAAGTTTGTTCACTGATCAAAACAACTGTAAATGGACGGTACGCACGTAATCGCGTAGATTTTTTTTAAAAACATCATCATTCATCTAGAATGAGCAACTTGATGAGGAACTAGCATGTGCTGTGTCAATGAATAAGGTTCGTTTTGTCGACATCTTGGTGGAACAAGGAGCTTCATTCAACCGACTGCGCACTAGAATGAAATTAGAGAAGCTCTATCATGATATTGATTTTGTGAGTAAACTTTTCGAAGACATGGCTGAAAATTCAATTTTCTTTTTAGAAAGTCTCTTTGCCACTTCCAGAAAATCATTCAAAAAATGATGTTCCAAACGAATCAGGTTTGTTGACGCTTCGTCAATTCTATTCCGTTTATGCATCGGATCAAAAACAAAAAATCTCCTCTGTAAGCTTTATCATTCTTTTAATAAGAAATCATCATCGAATGTCTTTTGCATTTGGAATAAACTAGTTCGATTTCAAAAGTAAGTAGTGAATTCCTATTTAATGTGACTGAGCACATGAAAAACTATAAATTAGGTCATGCAAATGAAATTCGGGACAATTATTATCGTTCTGATGAAGTAACAAACAGAGCTTCTATTACAACATCTCTCTGTGTATTCAATGATGCCGATATGATTCAAGAAAATGGTCGAATTGATTCTATATCGATCCGATATGATAGGGATTTGTTAGATTATTCTCCTTCTGTGCCCATTTGCTGGCTCATCTCGAGTACGAAGAAACCTGATGTATTTGTGTTGATTCGCAGGAGTGAGTCTCTTCAGCCGACGAGTAGACTAAACAGGATTGTGGACTACACTTTTCAAAAGAATGATGAATTATATGTAACCAGCGGGCAGTATCTTGCTTTTGCTTTTTTCGAAGAAGCGTATTTTCCGGCTAAAGTGGGCGGCAAAAATCGATATTCGGGCCAATTGAGATTGGACAGCAGCATTGGGGAAGAAATAATAGTCACGAAGGAGGAAGATAGAGGTGTTGCTATTAGTTTTGTAGTCAAACCCTTACCTGGTAAGATATTTTTGTTTTCTCTCCTCCAACGAACGTTATTCTTTGCCCAAGATTTCATCCACGAATTTTTCCTCTGGTCAGTCTTTGCTAATCGTCGCAAGATGGCTACCTATCTGTGTTCACGATCGACTGTAAGATAGCATACTCTACTAAAAATTCTCTGTAACATGAGATTAATCTTAGAATTCCATTGCATCAGCACTTTTTGCCAGCAAAATTTATCATCAAGCTGCCGCAATCACTCCACAGCAAGAAAAAAGACTGCATTACAGACAAAAAAAACAGTAGGTTCATTTGATCCATCTTGAGTTTATCAACGTTAGACTATTTTTTTCTAGAGAATTTGCTCAACATGCATCAAATATAATGGATATGTGTTTCGCAGAAGATGAACAATTCGCTCTGGATATTCTTAATATGAAATCGGCCTCTCATCAAAACTACAGTCTATTGGATCTAGCTAAAATGATCGACAGTCGTGTTTTTCTTACAACGAAAACCGTTCAACGTTATCTGGATTATAAGTGGTATGGTCGTATCCGCGCACATGGGCAGAACAATATCTTGTTGTGGTGGTTGGTCAGTATGCATTTTATGCCCATTTCTTAGTCATGAGAGGTCTGTTGCGCAGATTGAATACTCATCCTGTTTGAGTTTGTACGATTGAAATGAGTCCTGTCAAAACTGCTACTGTTTCGAGTCACTAGTAAAGTGAATAAACATTTCTAAGCTCTAACAAAGAGCATAAAGTGATTCTATATGAACGACTGTCAAAAATTTTACCTTGTGAAAATGAAGAAGAACAATTGGTTGAATGGCTCTTGAAGCACTCCAATAACTCTATTCTGTTGAATATTAATTCAACCATTTGTATGCGCATCAAAATAGCAGATTTCGTTATTCGCAATAGGGATAATTCTCGCCTTTCATTCATCGATTTAGCTAATATATTACTAAAAAAAAAAGAAGTTATTGGGAGTAGATGAAGTCAAGGAGAATACAAGTTCATAATTCTTTAGTCAAGAGTTCGGCTAGATTCACCTGGACCTTCTAACAAATAATGTAAAAGTCCTTGCACAAATGTCGGTTCATTTTCCATCAGTTAAAACGTGTTTCCAAAAAATAGAAAATATCTATCCAGAATATAATATGTCGAAAGCGATTTCTAACTGTATATTCGAGAAAGTTCTATTATGCTTTGTCGTTGAATAACAAGAACATTGTTGAGCATCATAACAACGTACACTGTGAAAGTAAAATGATTAGCATAGAAGTTATTGTTCCCTCAGTATTCTAGGATTTATTTTGGTTCATTTCATGGGAATGTGCTTATCTTTGTTCTATTAGATTCTCCTCTCTATTGTATTGAAACTACGTGACAAATACCATGGAGTTCTTTGCAATAATATGAACTGAAATTTATTTAGGAGCTCTTACTATTTTTTAAATTGATGTTCGTTTTGTTTTCATCAATGCTCGAATCTGTCGTTTCTAGAAAATGGTTGCATAAGAGATCAGACAGGTATAAAGCAAGTATCTTGAATCATTTGTAACCATCATTTTACCTTATTTATTAAAAATAGGGCCGTCCAAATCTTACAAACTTTTATCAATTCATTATCGCTTTCACATTCTGTTTTGAGCTTATTTCTTAGATCATTGTTTTTTCAGTCTTTTAAATCATATCATACAAGGCAATAGTGTCCCATTTTCTACTAGGCTTCTGAAGGATTAATCTACGCATCGAACGGAAAGAGAGCAGCATAATACAATGGAAGACTTTTTGAGAATTCAAAAATACTGAGAGATCAACTTCTTCTGTTGTTACTATTTTGGTGCTAATTAAATACCTACTCGTTACTCAAAGATGTGATATGGCAGGATTTTATTGAACGTAAAGTTAGAATATGCTATCGATGTAGATTCATAATAAATACTTTCGAATTTTTCGATTCGCGTTTTAGTCCATGAAAATATGGCTTGAAATTTGTACAGGTACTTTTTCATCAGCCGTTATTCATGGTAAGCTATATATAGGAACCCAATGAATATCTCAAAAAGGAAACACTCGTTTTTGGTCAAGTTTTTTTTAGAATTTTCGAGTGACAAAAGGATTTCGTTACGAGTAATTTTTTAATTTGAAGTTTTTAATTAGATTTTCATAGATCTCTTAATATAGATCAAAAAACCAAAAGTACCGTTAGAATCTTTGACCAGGTGGTCGTGCATTAGAATTCTTTTTGGTTTCCTTCGTTATCATCACCGTTTATTTATGTGAAAAATATGAGCGGGATTGGCGGATAGTACAAGGGAACCATTCGTTGTTGAATACGTTCAGTTTATTTGTGATATTCGGTATACTTTCTTACTCATTCCATGCTTATCTCTCGAAGAACAAGTTGCTAACACTTCTATTCGATGGTGAAAAGCTCCTTGAGATAGAATCTGCTTTAGTTTTCATCGATGTGTCGTCAGTATGAAAACACGCAGAGAGAAGAGTACACAATCAACTCGATCAGCTGATTTGTTTTATTGTCAGTGTTCGTAACATCAGTAAGCGTGAAAATTAGTCAATAAATCTCTACGAAGCTGTACAGATGAATATAAATGCTGAGAATAACGCTGATACTTTGATGGCAAAATACTAAGGATAGCCAAAATTTAAAAGCAGACGAAGCCAAATTATTCTTCCCGCTTCAATTGGTAAGAGAAGAATCAAACTCTTATCTAAATATAATAACAAGGAAACATGAGCTATAGTCCTTTGAGTATCAAATGGTTGATAGTGTCGAACTGAAGTAACCCATGATTTTCTAAAGGTTTTTCTTGAAATAATTGTGTGTATGAAGTCACAGTCCTCATAAGATCAGCTCATCAATTTTTCGTACAAGTGGAAAAGATTCTTTCTCAGATTACAATTGAAGGTTCTAAGCTTTGTCATAACTCCTATGAAAAATGAGCCTTATTTTTCATCGCCATACCCGTATGTCATGACAGACTATTATTTGACGAATACCACAGAAGCTCTCGAATTTTAATAGTGTCTTAAAGAGCAAGTAGCAATAGTGCATCGCATCAGGATGTGTTTTCAAATTCTTCACTTTATAAGAAATCGCTAATCATTATGATTTTGATGAATGAATTAAGCGAAGCTTCTGCAGAACAATTAGATGCATTTGTCCTTGTTGTTTTCTATTAACAGCGATTTATTGTATGCATCATTCCATTGTTGATATTTATACCAGGCGTTTACGAACGGCTTTTTCATCACATTCCTGGACCAATCATGTATGCTAATATGGATATTGATTTTTTATTATGAAGACATACCTCTGCATTGTAGCGAGTCCGAATCAAAGAAAAAGAATACCAAAGCAATTAGTGAGAAGTTCCAACAACTCAAACACTTCTTTACAAGACCAATTATTCGTTTTTATTATAATATAGTACGCGACTACGTTCGTTATTGTATCATTTCACAGGCTGTATCATTCTAGGTATTCTATGGTTGTTTTCTAATGTTATTCAGTTTTGTGCTACTTGTCGATTACTTTCCACTAAATAACAATGGTGGCGCCAGAAATACCTACGAAAACCTTAAAAT